GCCGATGATTGGGTCTACGTGCCTTATAACTGCCGCTTGTCCTGTTTCTGCCACTACCTCTGACGATGGACTCCTGTACGAGTCTGAAAGCTCAGGATAATAAACGAATTGTTCCGGTGCTCGATTCTTCTTCTTCCTCAAATATGTACACACCTGGAACTCGAAATTTCGCCTTCATTTTATAGTAGTTTTCCGCATTTTTGACCCTTTCACATTAAAAATATTTTAAAAACTGTGGACTTATTCACAAGGGTCGCTTGAAATGATTTCGGGCTGATCTCATTTGCTCGACAACTTTCCAACCCAACGACAAAGCTTTACCTCTCATCAAGGCAGTTAAATAATCCACGTGATTGGTGTTTTATTTAAGTCAGCAGAAGTGCCATTGGTTGAGCCACTCCCCGGTAGCCAATCCAAACTGTTTAACTGGCAACTGGACTATTAGTACCGAAAAGGTTTTTACTTGACAATTTGCAGGGTTTCCACATTAAGTCACAATATATTAGTGATTAATTGTTGCGTATGGTTGTTTCATTTACTCCTCCTTGGTGCACCAACTTTCTTATTAAACTCTCAACAACACCACGTCCCGAGAAATGGCCCACTGAATCCGGATTCACTCTTTTAAATTAGCAAAAAGCAAAGGCGAAATTGTTTGAAAGAATGGCCCACAGAAATGGTGGGAAAAATGAGGCCGCATACAACTCCGAGATGCAACAGCGTCTTCGAGAATTTCGCAGACTCAGCGATCAGTTAACGGAGGTTACGCTGGCTGCAATGCATCAGGCTGAAGTCCAGCAGCCGCATAAGCCTCTCATTGAAGTGCCAGTCATGCCCTACCACGAATGCGGTCTGGAAACTCCCTTGTCTCCAACTGGGTTATTTGACGCAGGTAAGGAAGCCAGCCCTAACGACCTGCAGCGTCTGGGTCGGTCCCGAAGTCTCGCGGTGGCATCTCTGGGGTCCAACACGGCTTGCAGATACTGTTCCACCTATAACCCCTTTGCAGGCGGTGACATTTGGATAAGACCGTCAAAGAACCTCCTCAAGAAGCGAGGCATCAGCCAGGCAAGAAGCAATAACGCGGGACACTGGACCACCACCCTAGCGACCTCTGACGGTGTGGACAAGAGGGATCTCTACTTTAACGAATGTATGCCGCCCCTCGACAGTGGTAACCGAAAGCTTCTGCTAAGGAACTATAAAGCAGCTTCGCCTGACTACAGTCGGAAGAGCAGTTCCTTCGGTAACCTGCCTAAAATGACCTCCCAACACACGCAGACTATATTTTCAAGTCTGGCACGCAATGAATCTGCTGTAATCAAACCCCGTCTTGGAGGCACCTACGGTTCCCTCTACTCAAAACGCCCCGGCCTTAAGTGGCAGCTCTCTTCAATGAGTAAAGCAAAGCCCTTTAAAAAACCCTGTCTTGATTACGGTCTAAGGAAGACTCTCTCGGTAACCAACGCAATCGTTCGAATGCCAATTGAGTCCTCTGCTCTACCCTCTAAAACCGACTCCCCCGCCCACACTGAGAGGTTAGGTGTTAGTGTGATCAGTACATCGGCCTTATCGGACGATAGAACCCATTCTGAACCCCACCGGCCGCTAAATGACGTCATCTGTAACGAGGCCGCACACGCTTCAGAAGCCAGCAGCCTCCTTTCCTGGACTACGGACGCAAACATCTCCACCGAGAAGTTCCCAGTTCAGCAGTTGCAGAAGCAAGAGCTGGGTGCTACTCGGTCGCTGCAGAGTTCACCGGAGGCGTTTATTTCCAAATTTAATAGACCGGCGCGGAGTGAGCACATTTATGAGGGCACGACTGAGGCCAAGGCTGAGAAGGAGGGAGACTTTGCCAGACCATCCTGCGACAGTTATGTGCAGGCCGGTTCACATGTGGATGAAGTCAATGATAGCCAGGAGGTGGCTCCGCCGGCTGGAAAGAGGAATGCCCTATTGCAGACAACGGAGGACTTTGGAAATGAGCTTAAATCTAACTTCAGTTTCCCCCGCATACTCTGTGAGGAGGATCAGACAAAGGAGCCGGGCGAGAACGTTGAGGCGCAAGTGACAGACGAGAACGGAAATAAACGTTCAACGGATTACTGGAAGGACCAATTTATGACCTTCTTTCAGCCCTCCGATAATAAATTGGCTAAGAAACTGTTCGGCACAAAAATGGCGCTAAATAAGGAGAGGTCTCGACAACGGAGCCAGGGCAAATGGATAATTCATCCTTGCAGCAACTTCAGGTACGGCGTGTTGAAAATACCCTTATTTGAATATTGAATATCTGACTGCAAATAAGTACTTTCTTTATGATACGCTTACGACTGGATTATCTAAAAGATAAAACGACACATTGAAAAGAACGTGAAACCTTGGAAGTCCGAACATATGAAAATGTCCTTTTTTAAATCCGATTGCGCTTGTTAGGCGGAATTTAATTCCCTCTGTGTTGGAAATAAGAAAATAAAGCCCTGATTTCTTACAAATCAGGATGAACGTCCCCATGACAATAGCAAACCCAAGTTATTCAAGTAAATCTTATCGAATAAATGATATACAGTCAGGTAGTTTGAATGATTACTAGGAATGCACTCGAGAAACGCAGACGTATTTTCTGACTCGAAAGCAAACACTTTTAGAATTTTTATTGTTTTAAGTCACGGCAATTTGATTCTAAAGCCAAAATGCAGAAAAATCATCAAGGACACGTCTTGTTCATAGGTGATCCACATGTTTAGAAATAAAAGTCGACATTCAAAAGATACCCAGATATGTATCTCTTAAACTTCAAATGATTAAGAATGAAGCAACCAAATGAACAACGGTCACAAATTAAGTGGGAAATGTTGTCTATTCGAAATATCCCCCTTTCCAATTTAAGAACCGAATTTTACCAATTAATCCTAAATATTCCTGTTTTCAAATTGTCCAACGGATTCAGTCCGCATTGCATCCAAGCGGGGAAGTTGAAAACGTTTTATATTTCTGATTAGAACATTGGTAGTTAACTTAAGACAAGGGTTAACGTGAACTTTCAAATTGCATGCAATATGCTTAAAGTACAACTTGATTTAGATGTGGCCTAACTTTCGTTTTAATTGCTTGATGTCATGGACCCCGAAGTTGGGAACTGCTGAGAATATATTTAAACACTTCGTTTCGTTGGTCGGCCAGTTGCGTGAGCGCGTGTGTTTTTTAGTTTGTATGTTCCGGTTGAATGATCTGCCCCGGCGGTACTAAAGCGGAAGGTAAAAAGGCAAAAACGGTTGCCACAGTGGTGAATAAAACTATTTTCGCAGTTGGCACAATGTATTAGAACGATTATGCGTATTTGCCAGAGACCAGCATTCGAAAGAATAGGCTGAATGGTAACTTGAATTTTAACTTATTGAGAAGATTCCGCGTACACTTTATCCCATTAGTCTCTACTTAATTTGACAAAATCTTACTTTAAAGTATTTTCTATAATAATCTGTATCACAAATCGCTATTTATAATTAGCAGTTTTAAGGACATGTGAGATCGTTGTTTTTAAAGTAGACACCTGATGAGGCCTTTGCCAGGAAACACTGAATTATAGTTTTTTGATTTTTTCAGAAATTAACCGCTAACACGGACTTAATCCGGTTATACCAAGGTCTATTGGCGCAGACCAAAGTATGATGTATGTATATTTAAGTTAAATTCCATCAGCCACAGGACGTAATCGTATAAAATTCAGTAAATGCCGATAGGCAGCTAGTAGTACAGTTGTAGTAGCAGCTACTACAAGTATCAGTAGTAGTAGTAGTAGCAGTAGTAGGGTAAGGAGATACCATGCTAACAGCACGGATACTGGCTAAAAACCCAGACACGCCTGTTTCGCCGATCTCTGCCATTTCCTGTCACATCTGCGAGGGATTCGGCTTTTTATTGATAAACTGGTCTACGCCGAGTTGGCAGTTAATTTCTGAGGAAACTGTAGGGCAACAGTTTCTATATTGGAGTATCTACCAGACAACAGAGGGGGTATGTCGGGCGACCCGTTGAAGGGCCGAACCCCATTGCAGCTGTGCCATTCGGCGGCAGAATATCAGCGAAACCCGCGTGTCTCGGCTTTTATCTAGGGCCTTTTCTGCTAATATGGCATACCCTAGCGCTAAATTGAACTGAATTGAAGTGTAATCCAAGAATGTGCAGAATGCTAGTGTGTTCTGACAGCCTGCTGCAAATATAACAGCAACTGACCAGATGACGATACATCAAAGGTGGCAAGTGCATGGCACACGTCAGGGAAAACGAGAAAATTGTTAAACATAAAACCTTAATTTTTTCTGGTCATATTTGTTCTGCAAGAAAAAAACGGCCAAAGTAAAAAAACTCCAGCTTTTTTAGACAAATATTGAAAACCAGCGTCCGCGCAATGGGAAACATATACAGGTGTTCGCAAACAACTGGTCTACGACACGACTTGACCGCTAAATCACTTAAAATGTGTGACCTGCGTTTTGAAGTGTGCGGCACCCGTTGTTTGCTTTCCAGTCGGTACCAATGGCGAGCGCTGTCCCTTCTAAGCCTCCAATTTGCCATCACTCCCCAGAACGTCTTGTTCTTAAAATATGCCGTTTTTTGATAAAAAGTCCCTTAAACGCCTATGAAACACAGAGGAACTCTTATCTTAACTCGGTCGGCTACTTAAAAACAGGCGCATTCTGACTACAGTGGCTGGTCTTTATCTTACTAGTGCTCAGAGGATTACAGTTTTGTTCACTGGCTTTGCATAATAGCCTTCTGAAGTACCCTGAATTTTCAGAGTGCGCCTAGGATATCGCCGCCTGACACAAGCCCCTCCAGAAAGTGCCCCTTAATGACCCTCAGGGAAAACTCAATGCGCATGTCTCGTAATCAGGTTTCGACACTTAGCAAATTGAAGAGTTGTTGACGTTAGCCGGTTGTTTCAATGGTTTCTTTTGTTGTCCTTTATAAACTCAACGGTTATAACAATCGCTAAGCCCACTTTATCCGCTTGTTCTCTCGCCGTCCTCTTGTACTTCATTCAGAGAATGTCTATTTGAAAGTATTTCGCGACCTCTCAATCGCACTTATGTGGGTTTAATAAAATTAATTGGTAGATGCGACCGGCAGTAAGCTGTTCAACGAAATCGGCCCTGAATTCCAAAATTCAGCGAATTTAAAAGTCTTCAGCGTATTTCCTACATGTCACCGCACTGTTATATTAACACTGTTTCACAGTATTTTGGAATGCTTTAATGAGGATATTGCTTTAAAATTTAACTATTCCTATATATACCTGCGATAATGGACGACGGAAACGCGGTAGATTGGTACAGTACTGTTTCGAGCTAATTTTGCCTCTAGTCAGCTAAGCAAAACCCTGCGCTCGTACACGGCGCAGATAGTTCACAAACAGGGTTTAGCGGATGTGCCATAAGCACTTCATTAAACCGAAGTTCATCTGTGCCTCACTACCTGTCGTTCTCTGTCGCTGCAGATCGGGTATTTATTCAATCAGGAATGGATGCACACTGATCTGTTTGTACATTTCTGTTATGATGAAGTGACACTCATTGATCAGATCACGGGACATGCTTGTCTGGCTGTGTCTTGTGGCTCAATCTCAGACCCTCGCAGACAGTCGCATAACGACTAGTAAAATGTGTATATGATGGTATATCGACAAGGACAAGTGAGACCAGAATGGCCACCTACGGATTATTAGCCGTCGTCAGTCAGTTACACCTAATTCCAAGTGTAAACTGCGTGAGATTCGAGCCCAGAATCTTTGGTCACCACGGGACGGGCATGTCTCGTAACCTAATCAGCGAGCACCACTTCATTATAATTAATATTTCTGATCACAACCGACAGGACAACGAACCCGTGGCTCATCGGTAGAGCGTTCGTCTCAATGGCAAGATATCTCAGGTTCGAATTCAAAGTGGTTCGCACTTGGGATTGGGTACGACTGACTTATGAGGGCTAATAAACCAGAAGTGGCCATTCCGGTGTCTTTTATTTCTGTCAGTAGTCCATCACATATATACATGTAAATGTTTCCACTTTGTTTATCGATCGGTTTACGGGATATGCCCGGGCTATTGTCTTCTGAGGCTTAATTCAAAGCCCAGAAAGACCCGGAAGAGGTGCTGAAAGAATAGAATAACGAGTCTAAAACTTGGCAGTTAGGATGTTAGATTTCTTATCTATAGGTCAAAAGACAGCATCAGGGATTGCTGGGTTATCTTAAGGAACTTGTATTCTAATCGTATGGATGATTATGATAGAGTAGTGACATTGATAATCATGCAACGTAATTTCACAATATTTCAGCCACGCCAAGATGCCGGCTTTTGAATGAGCTAAATTTCAGACAAGATGGCCTTGCTAATGTTTAATAATTAAAATAATGCGTGCTCAAGCCGCAGTTGCCTCCTAATCGGAGGTCTACTAAGGCCGGTTGACGACAGCTAATAAGTCGGAAATGACCATCCCAGCCCCCGGAGTCTTTGTCGGTTATCACCCCTGAATATAAAACCAGTAACTGCGCGAAAGACTGCGGGCTTTTTCTTGGCCCCTAAAGCATAATCGGACGAGTAGACCCCCTAACCCGATCAATGAATGCCTTTCAGTATATATTCCAGAACTGCTTTTGAGACTGGTTAGCTGGTAGGTTGACGTATGGGGAATCATCTGAAACCATGTCTTGTCCACCTAGTCCGTTTCTAAATTTCGGATATTGACGCAGTTTTTTGGCGTTCAAATTTCTTCTGCTAACCATATCCTATACTTTTTCGCGCACCCCAGGTTCTACTGGGATCTCATGATGCTCCTTCTACTGATTGCAAATCTCATTATTCTCCCAGTCTTCATATCATTCTTTATGGAAGACATTGGATTGGAGACCATCTGCTTCAATTGCGTTTCGGACACGATTTTCCTTCTTGATATTATTGTAAACTTCAGAACAGGTGAATGTTTTGTTTAAAGCTGCCGTTTAAGACCCAGTCCTATATGAATATTGCCAGACGATAATGTTACTTCAGCAACCTATGGTAACAATTAATTTAGAGTAACGAATTATTGAAGACAACCTCATAACTGCATATCTTTAGATTATGCCCAACGCTGGGCTAATATTTCATTTTTTTTTACTTATACACCTATGTACGCCTAAAGACTAACGGATTTTTAATTATTTGAATGTGCACTTTTGCAAAAAGTTTACAGCAAAGCAATTATCTGAGAGTTTCGGGTTTGCCTATGGTGTTAGGCTATGGTAAACCTCACTAAATGCCCTCTCTGTCTTCGAAAACATCCTCGTTTACGTGAGGATCATTTGGTGGTATTAAGAGGTGTGCCTTGTTACGGTATTTCAAAAACAACACTTACTGTAAAACGACTCACATTTTCTTCTTGAGTCTCGTGAAACAATCCGACTCCGCCTCTCGTCAGAGCATTTTAGCTATGCTCGTCTCGTCGAAGTTGGCACTGAAGATGACTACCGGCGATCAGGACGACTGATTTATATTTCCCGTGTACATTACGAGGAAATTTTATTGCATTTGCGTAATTACTGTTAATGCACTGGAGTAATTTGCCGGCTGCGGCGTCGTTTTAAACGTCAGCAAATGGCCCACTCAAATCGAGGCAAAAGCTTCACGTTAAAGAGTGATCAATACGCTCGCAGAATAACTGCCCTCAAATTATGGTTGACAGACCCATTTAAAATAATGCAAGTATCGTGGAGGCGAAGGAGTAAAATATGAAGTTTTGCACTGATCTACAGTTGTTATGATCACGATACCTACTTTCTGGACCGGAATTTTGTTTAAAGCTTTAAACCAGTTACAGACTTCATTATTTTGAAAGACGTGTCCCGGCGCAGTAGTATCAGCATTATTGGTCTTTTACCCGTCCGTGACTGATGTTTTTTTAATACCACTAAAGGTATAATTGCAAATAAGTTTGCGGACGAGATTATACTCAATCCACGGCAAATTGCGCGGCACTACGTCCGAACATGGTTCGTTCTGGATTTCCTTAGCTCCGTTCCTTTGGACTATATTTTCCTCTCACTGAGCGACGAACAAACGAGGGCTCATTATCTTGGAGCAGGTATGCCGAGTTGTTTCTTTTGCTTATGCAGACTGCTCCCAGGTGAACTGTTAACATTTACCTTTTGCAAGAATGATGCATTCTTCAACGACCTTTTGATTAAACAGACGTTTGATTGGTTTCACAAATATAAGGACTGGTCTTGACACTTGCATGTGGGGATAGACGCAAATTGTCAGAAAATAAAAAAACACAAATGCAAAATGGGCAGTCTGCAAACTGGAGTGTCTTTGGAAAACTAATAAGAGGGGCAGGCGTTTATTACCAACGCAAACATTGTTTAATTTTGTTGTAGTTTCCCACTTTTAAAAGTTATTTTTACCTAATTGCTCATTGAATGAAGCAGAATACAAACGTCAGCAGATATGAAAATGAAATTTTTAAAATCTTTCACTGTGAAAGGCCAAGTTTTTTTCTTAAACATTAGCAGTTTGATCGTGGATAGATGCAGGAATAAGTGAGCTAGAATAAAAACACATTTTTATGCATTTTTCCCAATGGAACCAAAAGCTGGTCGTGCTATGACCTATACTCATCCTTTATGGCTCGAGGCTTGAGTTACGAACTTAAATAGCGGTCTAGGGCGACTATGGAGAGTAGAATGGCCAATTTAAGGCGCAACACACGACAAAATGCAATGTAGGTATTCTTGCGCTAAAACCTTGAAAGAGGACATATTTCCTAATTTAGCCCTAATCTCAATCTTGACCGCAGTTCCACGTTGGACCCTAACCGTAAATTAAACCTTAAACTTAACCCTAACTTTAACTTAAGACCCCGGTCCACTAATCTCAGTCAGTCAGCCATAGTCGGCCAGAATTGAGATAACCTGAACTTTGGACCTGGTATTTGTGGCTGTGTCCGTACGGACTAGTGTCCTCTTATTGGACCACACATCCGTGATCTTGACGGTGGGAAAAGTGACATGGTATATCATTGATGAACTTATATCTAAATAGTCACATATGCAGAGAGCAATTGCCGATAAAGGCATGAGAGGCTGGAATTACCACTTGCGACTTACTGTTAGTCTTCAGGCAGCTATGCCCAACCCTTCGGCTTTTTTGACTCATGAGCTTCATTCCGCGGTCTCTTAGCTAGAAGTCCAATTTCTTAATTACTAAGCCATAGGCTCGTTGTCTCGTCGAGTACGATCGGTTATATTAACTGTTGTAGAGTATCATTCTAGTCTCCCATGTCTTTGTCATCAAACATTTTCTGCGTGTTATACTAGTCACTGAGCGATTGTGTACGGAAGTCTGGATTAAGTCTCTAAGCGTGACGAAACGTGTAGGCTCCACACTGTGATCACAAGGCTGTATGAATATGCTTTTAGATTTCGGCGACGGTAGGGCGTAGGACCCCAAGTAACTTGAGGTAGCATGTGGACCGTTTTTATGCGAGAGAAACATAGGGTCCTTAACCGAACAGTTACCTTAAATTCCCTATTGAATGCAAGCCTGCTAACGCAGTTAATTCGAATTCCACTTATTTTTGAAAACTGATTTTTGTTTTTAATTTTCGGGCTCACTATCGTTGCCACATGACAGCGTAAGATGATAAAATCGGCGGAAATTAAGTTATTCTTCTGTTTTGTCTTGCATTTCGTCTGTTCTTCGTCCTGCGTTTTGTCCCACCAGAGTTCCCGTATGACACGGTCCACGGGTTACATAATGTCGGGGTCCTACACCCTACGGTTGCTTAAAAACTTAAGTGCCTTTGGACACAAAACCAAGGATGACTCTTTCTCACACCCTGCCTGCAAAACAGACCCATCCAAAGGCCGTTTTGTCCGATATAAATAGGGACTGGATAAGTATTCAACCTAGTTTCAAATTAATAATTATTGCTTCCGAATAAACATCATGTGGCAGAAACCGAGATCGTGTTATTAATTAAGTACGCATACCTGCAAATGTGGCTTACTATGTTTCCTACTTATTCAGGTTCTGTGTGTTAATTAGCCTGATAAGGTGCCTAAAAGTTCATTCGCTGGAAGCCGAGGCGAGATAACCTGGCGCAAAAAATTCTTTTACCTAACTGACTCTGCGCGTCACGAAAAAGTGTGGATAAATTAAACTCCAAGATTTGCGCTCGAAGGAAATACTATTTGTCCGCAAGTAGCAGGAAAGATATTTGTGAGAGAACAATCGTTCCCCGGTATTTTAATCTGACTGCCAGCTGTCAGCCAGGGCGCGTTCAATCGTTGTAGAATATGGTAATCTCCAACATGTTGACACGGTATTTTATAATGTTCATTCACTGGTCTGTACAAATTCGGTCTTTCTGTGTCAGGAAAATACACCGTTGTATTTTCAAAACAGACAATAAGTGGCTAATTTTATATTTTTCATTTCGGTAGAAGCATATTTTTAATATTCTATAAATAGAGAAATGCACAGGAGCTCTCCATTTGTTGCTGATTATAAATAAATTAAGCAGAAGTTTTAAATGCATTATTTTGAAAATAAAGAACTGGTTTTATTTTGAAGTTAAAAGTACTCAGTCCCGAAATTATATAGTTGTAATTTTTTTAAAAACAAAAGTGGTTTATATCCGAAATCGTGCTCTAATTCTCACTTATTTATGTGAAATACTTACGTGGTTCCGTGACGTTTGCAATGTTCGAAGACACCGTGCCGACTAACCTCAATACCCAAGGCAAATATACCTACTGTCCAAAACAGAAAACCTTCTGGCATGGAGTGCCAAGTTGGTCGGATAGAAAACGATTTTTAGCAAGTGTTGTTGAAAATTGCTATGCGTGGTCGCTTGGTCGCGCTGCATTCACTTTCCGATGCTATCGCCACCCTGAATACCTTCTCTGCGTTTTTTCGGCCTTATCTTTAGCATTTGTCTTACGTGGCATGTCGCGGAACAAATTAGGTCTACAAAAAGAATTTGTTTTGGCGAGACTGCATAAATGCCCATGCTTTCCGTATTTAGCAGCAAAATACTTTAGATTTTTTCAGGGCTAAATGGGTCGCCAGCGCGCTTTTTCATGTTATGGCGCCACTTAAATGCTGGCATAAATGGTTGGTTGCGGATATGTGCTCGAAACCACAGAAGATACCGATTAATTTTACGACCCGGGGAATGCTCCGCGGACTCTCACTTAAGCCACGTTGTTGGAAGTCATAAAACATTGTTATATTAATATTCATAAACGTTAAGCTTTTATTTCGCTGAGTTTGGTCGGAGATGGAAAACGGTTTTCTGCATGTCCCTGTGAAATTGCGTGTCGTCGTAATTGGGAAAGGAGGCGGAAAATTACAGTCATTAACCGAGTGCATTACGTTTTAACGAAATATCTGACATTTGTTTTCGGCTAGAGAGGATTTACGAAATATCTGACATTTGTTCTCGAATAGAGAGAACTAATTATGTGTTGGTGATTTAGTCAATATTGTGCGACGATGTTAGCCTTTAAATGAACTCCATTTCGGCCGTCCTCAAAAACCACAGCATCTGAAAATTGAATGTTGAAATAGTTTGCATTTTTTCTGCCGACTTTTTTTCGCTTATATATTTAAATATATTTCACAAAAAACACAAATATATTTCCTTTTGCACTCATTTTATGGAAAGGTTTTCATTTTTATAATATATCTATGAAGATAAGTGGTAGAGGGTCATTTCACCGATTCCATAGTGCCATAAGGCTCTCTCTCTAACTCAGACAGCAGCCGCGCATCGGCGCGTAATATAGGCGGAATATCATTGCCGGAAAAAATAAGGGAGACTGGAATGGCCACAATTCGTCTCATTAGCCGTTGTCAGCCAATCATACCGAACCCCAAAGTGTGGAGCACCTGCTGCTCAATAAGTAATCTTTCGGATTTTGATTAATTTCATATTGATCCTACTGCGAAAGACGGCGTCTCGGTGGGATTAGAACCCACGACTGCAAGAGAAAGGCTTTAGTACGGTCAAAACTGTAAGCCTTGAGAAAGGTTTCCCCTGTTCGGTCAATATGAATTATTCAAACTCCGCCGATGCAGTTAAATACATTTACCTTTGTCAAATTATTTTGAATACCAGCTGCCCTTGAATTTGTTTTTAGGCTTTCAGTCTACATTCTGCATGCATTTTGTTTTAAAAAAACCACACATTGCTCTATACAATTAAAAACACAACCTGCTAATCAAAAATGTTTGCATATTCTATCAGGAGCATTAGTACACGGATTAACATGATACAATTTAGGTAGAAAGTTCATAGGTAGAATGGAATTACCGACAAAGACAAGGGAGACTGGAATGGCCATTTCTGGCTTATTAGCCGTCGTCAGCCAGCCATACCCAAGCCCGAAGTGTGGAACACCCGAGCCTCGAACTCGCGACCTGTTGGTTTAGAAGTCCACGCCCCTATCCACCGGGCCACGAGCCCGTTGCCCTGTCGGTTTTCGATCGGGAATATACAATGTTAGGGGGCGCTCACCGATCGTTCATACGGAACTCACTCGTTCCGTTGTGCCTTAAGGGCTCCCTCTCGAGCCCACCCAGCTGCCGCACAGCGGCGCATGATATATAGGCAGAATGGCATTACCCAATCGAAAAACCGACAGGGCAACGGGCTCGTGGCCCGGTGGATAGAGGCGTGAACTTCTAAACCAACATGTCGCGAGTTCAAGGCTCGGGTGTTCCACACTTCGCGCTTGGGTATGGCAGGCTGACGACGGCTAATAAGCCAGAAATGGCCATTCCAGTCTCCCTTGTCTTTGTCGGTAATGCCATTCTGCCTATTTATCATGTGTCGCTGTGCGGCTGCTGGTTGGGTTCGAGAGAGAGCCCTTAAGGCACAACGGAATGAGTGAGTTCCGTATGAACGATCGGTGAGCGCCACCTAGAAAGTTCATAGTTGGAAACTTTTTTAAAATCAAAAAACGCACTTTTTGTGGTATAATAGTTCGATGAAGACATGATTTTCAACTCAATGAGCGCAGGAGAGATATTTTGTTCTTATCTTCTGTGAAATATGTTTATTAACGGGTCGAAAATATATAAAAATTCGTACTGCTTAAGAAAACCATCTTTTCTGAGGGAAGCTTTTACTGGGAGCCGAAAGGGAAAGCATTCAAAAGCCTGCCTGGAATGTCTTGAAAACCTGCCTAGCAATGATAAATACCTTTCACATACTTTAGCTATTCTTTCCTAACCCAAAACTGATTTCGGCAAACATTTAATGATGTCCGTCACTGGCCACAAATCAAAAAGTATTCAACGTTTGCTTAATATCTGGGAACTTTGATACCTCCGCGTAAAAATCGGCTCGTACGAGGAAAAAAAGGAATGGCGAGTAAATGCAACGATTTAATGTTTCATAGTTCAGCTTTAATACGTGGTATCGGCCGACCTTCGGGTTGGCCTCAGAAAACTGGAAATGAGACCTACAATCTCCACACAAATGATGTTTTATGAGAAGATTTTTGTCAATAGGTTAGTTTTCAGATCGGTTTGTTTTGTGGTGTTTATACCTTGACCGTAGGTGAATGTCCGATAGCTAGGTTTCGATCTCTATTAGATTTGCACGACATTTTTCACCCGATGTCCGTGATCAAACACTTACCTGTCACTTTTTGTGACTTTGTCAAAATATTTTTTCCCTCACTGTACCCCGTCCCATATAACTGTACTGGCCTGCCGAGAAGTTATCGAAAGCAACGTTCGTTCGCCACCACTTCTTCTGAGAGTATTTTTTACTTTTGCCGTTCTGCCCTCAAAAATCGAAAAATATTTCTGTTGGCTTTTGTGATTTTTCCATGTGACCCGTAAAATAATACTGACATTCGCTTTCTGTCAAAGTCTAAACTCCCGACAGACATTTTCACAAGAAACTTTACCTTTGTCGCGTCATCAAACGATGTTGGAAGGTTAAACATACAGGCCACTTTTGCTCAACTTTCACAACAATAAGCGCAGAAGTGAGGTAGATGAATTAGATTTTACAAGTCAGTTGAATATGAGCCTTTGCATTTCATCGTCAGGCAGGCCTAAATAATCATTTATGCTGAACAGTGTTTGGTACCAAAACACAGTAAGGTTTTACTTCATTCTGCTAGTGAAGCATTCTAAATCCTCTTCACGATATAGAGTGTGGGTGGGCGTCAGTGAGCCATTTGACCATTCTTTCAGATCTCCCTAGCCACCATGATTTGAACATAATCGTATGCCGACCGACAATCATGCTTTGAAGGAGTCCATTGAAAGTATCTGTCATTTTTGACTAGATTTTTGTTGGTTGCCAATTCTTTTGCAAACGTCCTACTGGCCAGTAATTTAGCATACTCAAATAAATGCACAGCTTGCTTTCATCTGGCAGAAGACGCAAAAGTGGCTTCTTTGGAGGCCACTGATTGACCACTAACGACGACTAACAGAGGGCCGGGTTCCAAAGAACAATCAATAAAATGGAAGCGATTATGCGAATCCCAGGTTCTTGTTGTAAAGAAGATGAACAAACTGCGTATTTGATACCGCATTCTCACAGTCTCTGACGAAGGCCTCCTGTACGAGGCCGAAAGCTCACCTGCTATTCCAGAGGTCGTTTTTTCCTCTTTACAATTAATAAAATGCAAAAAAGGAGGACTGATTTTCTCCTGGGCGTACAGTCTGCCTGTTTCGATTCAGAACAGACTGATGCACTATATGCAATTTAAGGGGATGATACTCGTCACCAGCAGATTACCAAGCACATTATCTGTCTGCATTTTCTGGTAGATACTCCAATCTAGAAATTGTCGCTTTTTAGTTTCCTCAGAAATTATCTACGAAGTTGGAGTAGATCAGTTTATTCAAGGTCTATGGGCACAGACCGAGAATTTTTACATGAATATTTAGGTCAAAGTTCATCAGCCACCGCGGGTAACCGCGAAATATTCATTAACTGCAGACAGGCAGCTAGTAGTATACTTTAGGATCAGTTGATACCATACTAACAGCACAGGTACTAGCTGGAAGGAAATATGAGGGCGTTCTTTACGGCAAAATGATTGAAGAATAATATTTTGCGCGTGCCTTCAACAATACATTTTTGGACCTATTAAAGTCCGAAGATCAATGGGAAAATCATGCATTCTTAGTAGATATTTCTCAAGAAGTCTGACTTTTGATGACGACTTGGCGTGATTAGGATAACTTGAAATTTCGTCCCGGATAATCCGCACTAGAACATCACATAAATGGTTATTTTTAGCCTAGATACCATCTCGGACTTTAAGTTAATGTTTTTTGAGATACATTATTTAACGTCGATACCAAAATTCAAGTTACCATGTTGTCCTTAATACCTACTGTAACGCCATGTTTAACCTATTTGGTGGGCCGACGGTTTGCAAATCCACATTTCAGCCGTTTTCGGATTGTGAGAATGTCTCACCTGCTGAGTATATTTGAATGCGCCTGCATAGCATCCATTCCCACACACCGATAGAGCCCCTGGAAGTAGCTGGAAGGCACAATTTTATGCGCCAACTACCGACAGCAATGACGGCGAACCAGTGGCTTGACGACAAAAAGCTTCTAACTACTCAATGTGGATTAAAAGTCACTTCAGTCAAACGTTATTTCTGACGAAACATTGTAAAACTAAGTCGCCATTAGGGCGAATGACGAGAAAGTCAGTGAGAAGAGGTCAAAGAGTGCTACTTGACAGGATAACCGAGATGATGGAGGGAAAGGAGGAGGAGAAGGAGGATAGGGAGGAGGTGATGAGAAGAAGGAGGCAGAAGAAGAGGTTTGCTAAAGTTCATCCCGTAAGGAGGTCGCTTGTTCGTCTTCAGGAGAAGCGGATGCTAACTGAGTGAGACCGTTAACAGAACCTCATTTTCCGGCCACCGCTTATCGCACTAAACTCGTTCTGCATGCGAATCCATCAGTTTTCAAATCCCACAGCACTTTTTTGAGAGCCTATGGGCCGGCTCGCAGAGGGTATCTCTACAACGTTTCTGCCTAATTACAGTAGATGTGCTAACTCATGAAATGTCGACCAAAACTTCGAAATGCGTTCTCGTTTCGAAAAGACAAATTAAGTTGTGTCGTAAAATTAATCATGATGCAGCATTAATCTATAATAATCCAGTTACCACGGGGTGTCTGCTTTCGCAAGAACTTATTTTCGGCTGCATGCAAGATCAATACTCTGCAAAAATGACTACTTAAGTAGCATGCAATTTTCTCATTGATTTTCGATGCCCTTAAAACTTCAATTATATTTCATGGAAAACATGCATAAAAATATTCAGTATTTCACTTATTCGGAAGAAACTAACGTCTTCTTTCAATTTTATACCCAAAAGAAGAGTATAATTTGGCCTTTACAGAGTTTCCATTTGTGATATTTTTTAATAACGTTAAATGGCCGTTTATTAAACGTCATGTATCTGCATTTACGAAAGTGGCTTGTAAAGTTAACAATATTGCTCAAATACACTGCTTAATTTTATGAATCTTCTATGTTTTCCTCTTAACACCGTAGAGAAATGTATGGTTTTCCGTACACGGAAAATATACAGTTTGTAGTTTTGAAACCCTGAATGCAAGTTTAACAGCAGGTCGGGTTCAAAATTATTCGGGAATGAGAAAAGTTTTTTAAAACCGAATTATACTCTTGCATGCAGCCGAAAATAAGTTCTTTCGAAGGCCGATGCCCTGAGGTAACTGGATCATTATAGCTTTATGCTCCATGATGATTATTCTTACAACACTACTTGATTTATCTTTTCCAGACGAGAACGCATTTCGAAATTTTGGTTGACATTTCATGAGTTAGCACATCTACTATATTTAACTGTCCGTGTTGACGGTTTAACCATCGATTCCGACGATGTTCACCGTGCTTCCAACAGCAGGGTGAGAATGAGGGCTGTGACTTTCGCATAAATTGTTTTAAAATGAGGATGGACTTGCGCAGTAACTATCGCACTCCCTTCTCCCCCTCCACTTGCATCGTTTGTGAAGAGAGAGCGAAGAAGACCGGATGCGGGAGATGACATGGGTGTTTGTACGGCGTAAACCGCACCTAGGCGTACTACCATACCTGGTTCACAAAGTACTCTGAACAGAGTTGTGCACGTGGATAAGACTGATAGACCTGTTTAGTCATCCCTATAAGAGGTTTAGCTGACCTTCGTGCCAGCAGATTCTTTGGTGAAAGCGATAGATTCATTGAATTCACTGCGTTCTGGCCTCTTTACCGGCTTCTCGACGCGCGGTCAAGATAAGAGCAGTGCGATCCCCAACCAGGGTAGGGATGTACTAGTTAACTCTTTTAACTCGCGGTAATCTCGACTATGTCAAATCTACTTTCAAGTTATGCTACTTCCTACTGCCGGTTTGTTTACAAGCTCATTCTCGATGCCTGTATCTCCTAAGATCGATTAAGGTGTCTGAGGTTATGCAAACCGGTTCATGCAAAAATACCCCAAACCACATGGTCACATGGACCGTTTAATAATAGCATAGGAGGCTCTCGTTTACTTTAGCTTTTGTGCAACTGCAAATGAAATATCTCCCACGATTAAGTGCGCAGTTAACCTTTGGATTGGCGCTTCCAGTCGTGCGGGAGAAATGGAACATAGTGATTTTGAATAAACTGGCCTTGGTTGCAAAAACTCGGAACTATCCAGATAGTCCGAACAAACTTTTCGTTGGAGAAGGTGTGTTCCTTTTAAAATTAGGAGAACCGCCTTTTGGATTTTAGCCTAATCTGCTAAACTGGGGAACTGACTTTTGGTAAAACCGAGAAAACTGGCGACATGTCTTGGAAAAACTCGGCTTTCGCTTCTCCTAGACTTTCAAGTATTCGGTGGTTTGTTTACTTTGTTGGGACGATAACAAGCAGTGCACATTTATAGGCCTGACGTAACACTTTACCCTACAAGCGATCGCAACCCTTCATACGATTACTATCCTAAGATGTCTAATTTAACTGCATAACACATTGCTGACCTTTAAGGTGAATGTCCGACTTCAGTATCGTTTTCTCCCCGTGTAAACACACGCTAACGAGGATACACATTTATAACCTAATGACACAAGTTTGCTCCCTTAAAAGTACAACCTGCATTTGGCTGAAAACTGGGACTTAGAAAGCATCAGAGTTATTTTCTGAAGAGCACGCACTGCCGAAATGAAGTAGCATATACCTTGCGTAGTCCCATGAATACGTCAACTGACCGCGAGCACTCAACTTTAGGCAGATAAAAAAGCAGATATGAATTCTAAGTGTCATTTCGCTTGGTCGCACCGACCAGTAATTGCAAACTATATTTCTGAAAATTTAAGAATACTTCAATCAACCAACTGGAGCAAGATATAGCTAAATCTTGGGTCCCTGGGCATTATACAGTGGTCAGATGGCTAGGTTTTATTAGATAAACCTCTGAAACTCTCGTTGCTTCAAATTAATTCTTCGTATTCTGGCAACTACGGGCATATATATGGATATAGGCGAAAATGATGAGGACATGTCAGGCGCCATTTACCCCGTCAATTGCCTAGACTGTCAGGATAACTACTGCGGCATGACAAAAAACGACTTAAAAAGCGCATGCATGAGCACACTTTAGCCGTCAAGCGGAAACACGCTCGCTCACACGTTGCCATGCACAGTCTGGAAAATGACCATCGGTTTGACTTTGGCCGTCCCTCAGTGCTCTGCCTGGCGGAAAACAGACTGGCGCGAAAAATAATCGAGGCCCGGCAAACAGGTGCCAACTCGATCAACCGCAGCGTCGACCTACCGGCACCATACGAGGCCGCCAAACACAACTTAGGCATCAGGGGAGGCCCGATGAGGATAGCAATTGATGGCCCTACCAGGGGCGAGCGTGAGGGACCTATTAGAACCGTGCAGTTCTCATATTTCCTATCGCCGATGATGCGCTGGAGTATGAGAGTGAAACGTCAGATGAATAATTCATCATCCCCAGAGCTCGCCCTACCATCTTCTTCAATATACATATGCATATATTGGCATTTATCAGGGGGTATTTAGGAACGGAAACAGCATCGATTATTTCCTGTTTTGTCCCGAGTACCGGGGTTTAATATTGCTTTTACGTTTGCATAAGTCGTGACCCTGACCTCGGAAATCTCGCAACCCGAAACGACAACGTTGGGGATAGACTGTTGACCGCGTGCTGACGACTGTATTTGCGAAACCTGGTTAAGTACTGATGACTGGATTTTGGACCCAAGATCGGAGAAGCAAAAAACGGCGAGTAATTGAGCATGAATTGAGGATAACTGAAATGTCTGAGAGGGGATATGTTCAGCTGTTCGACTGGCGAGCGGTCTTTAAAGATAAAACGCTATGAAGTATTTAGCTAGATACCGTACAAACCTGCGTTCATCATTTTACTCGAAAGTGTCGTTTTTGACAATGGCCATTTTCTGTGCTCTCCTGCAGTCCGGGGTGCTGCCCTACCCGTAAACCCACACCCCACTACCACCATTCCAGTATGACAAGACTCACAGTATACTGACAGCTAACTGGGGTCGTTCACCCTACAGCTGTACGTGAAACGAACATATGTCTTTGGTTGACGCATTATGATAGCATTAACAGTAAAAGAATACGATAAAGGGGATAACACCATACAGCAGGTGGGCTAACTCATGAAATGTCGACAAAAATTTGAAATACGTTCTCGTTTAAAAAAAGATTAATTAAGTATGCTTGTTAACGTAATCAACGTCCAGCATAATTCTATAATGACCCAGTTACCGCAAGGTGCCAGCATTCTAACGAGCGTATTTCCGACTGCATTCAAGAACTATACTCTGCAAAAGGAATACTTAAGTAGCATGCAATTTTTTAATTGATTTTTGATACCATTAAATATTCAATTATATTTTATGGAAAACATGCACAAAAAATATATATCTTTTACCTGTTCGGTAGAAAATTACGTCTCCTTTCAATTTCATACTCGAGAGTGGAGTAAAATTCGGTTTCAAAAAAGATTCTACTTGTGAGATTTTTTGTTACCGTGAAATGGCCGTTCATAAAACGTCATGTATATGCATTTACCAGTGGGGCTTTTAAAGTTACCAATACTGCCCAAAATCACTGCTTACTTTTATGAACCCAATATGGTCTTTTCTTAACACCGTAGAGACATATGTAGTTTACCGTACACGGAAAATACACGGCTTATAGTTTTGAAACCCTAAATGCAATTATAAAAGTAGGTCGGGTTAAAACTTATTTGAGAATTAGAGAAGTCCTTTAAAGCCGAATTTTTCTCTTTCTTTAAGTATAAAATTGAAAAAGGACGTGATTTTCTGCCGAATAAGTAAAAAAATGTATGCATGTTTTCCATGAAATATGATTGAACTTCTAATGAGCTCGAAAATCAATGAGAAAATTGCATTTTATTTACGTAGTCATTTTCTGAAGAGTGCAGTTCTTGCATGAAATCGAAAATAAGTTCATTCAAAGGCCAACACCCTGCGGTAACTGAACTACTGTAGAATTACGGTGCAAGATGATTAGTTTTATAGCCATACTTAATTAATCTTTTCGAACCAAGAACGCAATTCGAAATTTCTGCGCACATTTCATGAGTTAGTCCACCTACTATGTATTCCGCGATTTAATCGACCTCCCCGCATCGTGAACAGCTTGTGCTAAAAATAGCATCGTTGCACTTTGCACGGCCAGTGATACGGTGCATCAACTGTAAAACTATGTCCTTTACTACACAGAGTGCATTTAGCTGAATTTCATAAAGAATCGCCTTCGGAAATACTGTCTATATCGTGGAGCAGAGTTATAATGAAAAAACCTAAAAATAACGTGCTTAAAAACCTAAGCCCCTTTTCTGCCAGTTCTTAATCATTTTTCAACAAAGAAGTGACATTTTTGAAAAAAAGATTGCAATATAAGGCAAAAAATCCGGAAAAAATGAGTGAGTTCTTTAAATTTGACTCCATAATATGAATACTGCGCGAGATGTTAATCTGCTTTAGCGGGACGCTAGTCCTGTGCGGAACAGTTTTACTTCCAATGATCGTTCGCTAAAACGAGCTTTAAGCCTTTTATTAAATGGTAGAAAGTACTTTCACCTCAATAAACATATAATACTTCTTAGGCAATAACGTCCACACGAAATAAAAACGACTTTCAGATTTACTGGACTGCCGAGCATCAATCTGTTCTTTGTACATTCTATTCATCCACCTTTTCGAAAGAAATACTTCTCAAGTAGTGATAACTTGTCGTCTTCGTGCAACCGTGTGTGGAGGCTGTAGCCTCTGAGATCCGAAAGGTGGACAGGGTCATTCCCAGTTCATCCTTCAACGGCGATAGGTCGATGAACCTCGACCGCAGCTGCCAAGAACTTCACCCCTTAGTGAAATCGTCTGAGCGATGCTATACCATCAACGCATTCGCAGCTCACTTAGACTCCTGGCAGCCAGTAAATCGAGGTAGTTTTTCCAGGTGTCTGTAATCGGTTACTGCGACAGTACTTACTTGGCCCTCTCTAATTTTCTTGGTATTTTGTAATTAGTGTCGGAAGATGACCTCAAATTAACGCTTACAAATAATATGGCATGATTTTGGCTGAAATTGCAAATTTAGATTGGTTCCAAAAACGTATAACAGTTAGCCTTAGCTTTAGACACATCGATTTGCCGGCGTGTTATCATGCACTCTGCCCACGCATCCAGGTGGTGCAGCTCACATCGTCGCGAAGTACAAACGGCATCACCACGTCGGGGAATTACCGTGGAACAGGCGGCACAAACCAGACCTAGCCACGGACGTAGCCTCCCCCCGCATGGATTGCGATGTAAATTTTTACACGTTGCTGCACTCTGGCAGTCTCTGATAATGAACTTCAGTTCGAGTTCGAAAGCTCAGGCCAATAAAACTACTGTCCCAGTGGTCGTGCCCTTGTCTTCTTTTAAACATGAACCTGGGCTGCGCATATTCTCTTCCATTCGAGAGGGGTTGCTTTCATTCGTTTTTAATTTTAAACAAAAAGGAGTCTCAGGTGCCACTTTTCTTTGCAACAGACGCTTTTGGTATCATTTCATGGGAAACATCCTCCCTGTAAATCTTGCAGTGAAACGTTCAGTGAGTACTTAAATTGAAAACGTTCCGAAAATCTCATATAGTTTGAGACGCTACCGCCCTATGCGCCTGGTTGGAATTTTAGAACAAAGCATTTTTCAATTAAGTACAAATTTTGAACGTCAAGCCTTTTGATAATTAATAATGTTTTTGTGCAGGAATAGTCCGCAAACTTATGAAAGTTTACGCTAGGATGAAGGCGAAATTTCGAGTTCCAGGTGTATACATATTTGAAGAAGAAGAAGAATCGAGCACCGGAACAATTCGTTTATTATCCTGAGCTTTCAGACTCGTACAGGAGTCCATCGTCAGAGGTAGTGGCAGAAACAGGACAAGCGGCAGTTATAAGGCACGTAGACCCAATCATCGACCGACGTCGCACGACTGGAGGTGACTACGAAGGGCTCTGTACGCCGGCGCCAGATCGATAAATCGATTGACCGAGTTCTCATCCGAGGCCCAGGCTTCAATCAATTCTCGGCCTGTTTTGTTTCCGGCGTGGGCGACTATTTTGGTGGCAGCGAAGTTTACGCTAGCTCAGCACTCTGTTCGACTTTCGCACTTATTATACCCATGTTTTTGCACCATTTCGTGATTGTCGCTGGTCAACCTGAAAGGTACAGCTGTGCACAATTGCAAAAAAAACAGACTCAATTGTGTCTGTGCTCGAGAGTAATAAGCACTATTTTCTTCTAAATTCTGCTTTCCAAGTCAATGCTCCCTTGGTGCAAATAAGTTTTCAGTTACTGTTTGCAGCCTCCGCGAGTGTTAGTGACAGGTGGCTCGACAGACAGTCATAAAATTTTTCTTGAGGCCTGTCATTTTTGGCCATCGAGATGGCCTCCTGATTACCACTTCCGCAGACAAGGCGATTTTTCGCGCGGTAGGCAAAACAAAAATGCCATTAGACGCTGCCATTATGCGTGGGCGTTTGGCCAGGCGCTAGGCACTTAAAGACTGTAAACAACTGCATAACGTTTAAGGTTAAACTTAATCACGCTTAGTTAGTTGGTCGCGTAATGTTCATCTGATGGTGCAGTTAAATAGCATAAGTTGAAAGGTGATTTACTTAAATATGAGATGCGTAATCGGTAGGACTGGTTTATATGCCCGCCCCCCCCCCACAAAAAGGACATGAAAACACGAAACGGCTATAGTACGAGTGGGTTTGAGCCAACTTCCAGTAAAACAAGAATTAGGTTTTAGGTTAACTTTAAAGTTAACGGAAACGTAAGTCAGGATCAAGTTTAGGGTTCATATAGAGGCTCGTGCTGACTGCAGAGGGTAGGACTGCGGTCAAGTTTTAAACAATGGTCCTGTTTTTGAAAAGCGAACTAAAATTATTATTATTTGTAGCCACTTTTGTGCTATCTTGTATAAAAGTAGACGAAAACAAAAGTTATTCCTAAATACGCCGATTCAATTGCCGAAATTCTCAGGACGACATATTTTTTCTTTTTATGGACGCTTTCCTGATTAATGAGACGATACTTTCCGTGACGCTGAGGGCCTAAAAGTAGATACTTTTTGTTGTTTTAATTTCCTCAGCAATTAACCGCGAACCTGGAGTTGATCAGATTACACCATGGTCTATAGGCGCAGAGCAAAATTGGATGAAGGAATACTTGTGCCGAAGTCCATCAACCAAGGCGGGATGACCGTGTAATTTTCATTACTGCCGACAGGCAGGTAGTAGTACATTAGATGGACTAACTCGCGAAATGTCAACCGAATTTTCGAGGCGCATTTTCATTTCGAAAAGATTAAGTAAATGGGGTCGTAAAAATAGTCGTCAGCAGCAGAATTCTATGATAATTCAATTATTTCAGAATGTCTGCTTTCGAAAGAACTTCTTTCCGGCCGCAGACAAAGAATCCAATGTGTAAAAATGACTGTTTATGCGACATGCATTTTCTCTGCAAAAATGTAATTACATTTCATGAAAAAACATGAATAAAACTATAAATTCTTTCTTCATTTGGTAGTAACTTACGCCTCCTTCTAAACTTCTACTCGAAGGAAAAGTATAATTCGGTTTTCAAAAACTTTTCCAATTACCAAATAATTTTGATTTCCGACCTGCCGTTACACTTGCATTCAGGGTTTCTAAACTACAAGCCTTATATCTTTCTCGTACGGAAATCCATATATTTCTTTACTACCTTAATAGGAGACCATATGGGATCCATGAAATTTAGCAGCGGATTTGCACCCTATCGTAAATTATACAAGAGACATTATCAAATGTAGAGACACGATGTTTTATGAACGAACATTTCGCGGTATTAAAAATCTTACTATTAGAAACTTTTTCAAAACCGAATTATACCCTTCTTTTGGGTGTAAAATTGGGGAAACAACGTCATTTTCCATCCAATATGTAAAAGCGCGAATATTTCTACGCTTGAAATATGAAATATGTGAAATATGAAATATGTGGGGACGTCGTTGCAAGATCTGTTTGCAAAAGGGAAACACTCTAAATGTGGTAGATTAATGAAGTTGTCATGAGGTACATAAATACGATGAGTCCGATGCCGAGGCCCAGCAATTAAGGCTGTCGAGGATACAAGCTGCAAACCTCATCCCAGTCGGGCACAGTCAAAATAGCATGATGTTTATTGTGTAACTGTTCGGAATTTCAAAATTTCGGTGGATTTCATGTAGATCTCACATGACCGTGAGGTATCACAGCCAGGGTATCACGCATACAGTGCGTTCGTTGATCTGCTGCCACCCATGTTCCTAAGTTTTCTGAGTTTTCGTGCAAAACCATTCCCAACCACAAAGTGTGGAAAACCTGAGGCTCAATAAGTTATCCTTCAATTTTCAGTAAATATAATATTGAGCCAATTTTGAAAACTCGGTGCCTTGGTAAGATTCGAGCCCAAGACAGCAAGGAGAAAGCTTTAGTTCAGCCAATGCTCTTACCACCTGAGCTACGAGGCTCCACCGGAAGACGTTATTTTAACCACATTTGGGTCACATTACGCGCTCAGCTTACTGCAGCGTCTGGAATCCACCAAATCAGCTACAGAAAACTGACTGCCCAAGCGGGATTCCTTAAGTAATTCACATAGAATCTACCAGCTGAATGTCAGCCCCACGTAATTCCTGGACGATAAATAAGTAATCAAATAGTTTAAATTGTTATTTTTACTAATTGCAAAAACTCAGCTTCCTCGGTGGGATTTGAATCCTTGTCGCCGTGCATTCAAATTCCGCCGAGTTCGTCGAGTTTTTCAAAGTGCCGTCAAAATTGCAATGAATTCTGGAATATTCGTCAGCTTACATGCCTTCTTAATAGATATAAGTATGTTGTGGAGTTTCGGTCACTTTGATGTTTGCATAGTTCTGACGCAGCTTACTGTTAAAAGCCCTTCTTGGCTATAAAAACTACTAATTACATGGTAGCTACAAAAGCAGCTTCGCTTTAGATGCTTGTGCATATTCACGTTGTACAACGGCAGTAATTTGACGTACTACTTAGTGAAAGCTGGAGAATTCAGACACATACCAAATCTTTTATAATAAATCAAGAGTGCTGGGTTTGTTTGAAAAATGCACATATTCGAGACCCATTTCTTTACATGAATTTATTTTTATACGGAAATAATGGAGTAAAGCACTTTTTTTCTTACCATAGTTTGCATAATCCTGCAGCGAGTTTTTAAAATGATAACCCCACACTTTTTGCTTGTTACATATCACGATTGCAAAGAGTTTTCCTCTCCATAAATGTTTTACGAATAACTTTTATAATTGTGATGTATCTGCTTGTTTTGTAGATGCCTATTAACGATAATGCGCACCGTAACGGCTCTAAAATAAACATACTGGTGTTAGATCCATCTGTTAAACGTCCTCGACGAAAATCATGTCGATGTTTATTCTTTGTTAACAGGAAGAGCGTTAAGAATCCTGCGTCTGGTTAAGATCCTCAGTCTTTTGCGGCTTCTCAGGATCTCTCGTCTGGTGCGATACGTCAGTCAATGGGAGGAGGTGAGAAATTCGGTTTTAAAAATCCTACTCGCCATTCACAAATTACGTTATATTTATTTTTCCTTCACGATTTCAAAATGCATGCGTTTATACAGAACAGAGAGTGCCATGGTAACCTTCAGGTTATTTTTAATCACGTAAATTTGAAATCAGTTGGTTATGCGTAGGGTGTGACTTGTCTTTTAACATAATTCTCGAAATATTTCCCCGACACCGATTGCCCACTTTAGCGATTTCACATTCTGTAACATAAATCACGTTTAGATGTGGTGTGTGTGGTAAGCGGTCTTTAAAATTGCTCATCCGAGGTTAAAGCGTCTTAATAACTATACCGGCTCCAGAGTTACAAGTAATCAGTCTGAATGAAGTTAATCCGTGCAGACCGGCATGTACTGGTAATGCAAAAATGTATCAAAGACACGAAAAGGTTGCGTTTAAACACTCCTTTGCCCGCAAACCTACTTGAATCGCTTTTAAATAAAAGGCAAATCCACAACCACACCTTTAACTAACCCTATTAATCTCTTCATAGAGACGAACAAAAATATTTGTAAATCGTAAAAATGCGTGCAAGTATGCATAATTTATAACGATTAGTTTTGGCTTGTTTGTAATCAAAAGAGACACTTATGCACATCGATCGCACTAACCATAAAGGCAGACGTGAATGTTCAAAACTCATACTGTTTTGACTCAACAAAGAGGATATTTTGTTTAAATGAGGCGCCTGGCGTACGCAAAAAGTCACAAAGTCAAAATATGCCGACGCCCTAGAAACCTCTACGATGCCCATTGCGGATAACGCAGGATAACCTACTAAAATTGTTTTTGTGGGCACTGTTGACCAGAATATTAATGTCAATTTTTCAAAATCAAGCGTCACTCAAGATCAATCAGAATAAACAAGCCACATAATATGCCCACAAAATGCACATTTTAATGCCAGCACATGTGTTTATGTGGTTATCTTGCATTGAGCGTCCATCCAATTGCATCTGCCGGCATATTTCTTTTAACATATAGTCAGCGTCATAATGCTTAGTACTGTGTAGTCAGAGTTCGCTATCTCGGATGTATTTCGCTACTTATCATTAATAGGTGGGAGCTCAAATCTTATCAGTAGAAAAGACAGTCTCAGCTTACTTCCCTAAAACGAAAAAACTCACTTAATCCGCCAGACAAGCTTTTCTTATGGAAGTATAAAAGATCTCATCTTTTGTTTAAAAACGTTGAAGACCTCACTGATCGCTTCAGCTAGACCGTCAAAACGTCTGTTCTAGTGTCTGGCTTGTGTGACCCCTAGATAGGACAATGAACTTGTTTATCAGCTGCTTACGTCAGCGAGATTCCTAATCCTTCTGAACTTAAAAAGTCGCTTTATGAAGCCAGGGGAACTTTCTCACAACGGATGAACTTTCCCTTTAAACTTTTTACTATTAAAAAAGTCTGTAAAATGAAAAAAATAGGGCGAACTAAACAAGTCAGCCACTTTCACACTTTGGTAGAAGTCATTATCACAAAAATGGATGTTTGGGTAAAAAAAACATCTTCTGTAGATCCGTCCTCCCACTGAATCCACAAAAATCAATTATACGTGGTGCTTCCTTGTGTTGTTAAAGGACTACGATCTCGGAGCCATTGCTCGACTTTTCCAAAATTTGCGGTAGAACCAACTCCTGGGACATGAGCGGAGACTGACATATACGATTACGTTTACTGTGTCAGTCATGATACTGGCAGGTGGTTTCAAGTCGTAAAGTAACATAACCGACAAAGACAAGGGTGACTGAAATGGCCATTTCCAGCTATTGGCAGCTGTCACCCAGTCGCACCCAACCCAGGGGTGTTGGACACCTAAAACTCCATCCCACAACCTGTTGGTTAGAAATCCAGCGCATCTAAATGCTGAGCCATACCCTCGTTGTCGTCTCAGTTGCGATCGTAAATATACAATGATAGAGGGGCGCTCACCGACCGCGTTATGGAACTCTATCCTACCATTGTCCCTCGGGGCTCACTCTCGAACCCAAACAACAGCAGTACAACCGCACGTCAGCTCATTTCAGTCATTTATTTATAGGATATTTTTTTAGATTTGCGATTAAACCCACTCTTAGGTTAGTTTTTCTAAAGGCACTCTTCCCATGTCTATGAAAACAACCCACAGACTCTTTATCAGTATGCTTCCTTTGCCTGACATCCGATTACACTGGCGAATTCAAGGCGAGGATTGAATATATGTGCGGGAAAAGGAAATGCTGACTGTCGTTCAACAAATACACTTTCCTCCAAAACTCACATTTTGGAAATTTGCATAGTTTGGTCGTCCACTTTGTGTGTTAAGTGACCAACAATGATGACGGACCAGTAAAGATCGTTTAACTTCCCTAGATACTGAACTCTGATCAGCGTAATCATCTAGCAAGGTGAAATGAAGGCCTATAAATAGTTTTATCCAGTCGCGCAGAAAATAACACATGCGACGCAAAATGGACTCTATAAATAGTCTAAAATTAAAGATATGTAACAGGAGCCCCAACAAAAACGAGGGGAATAGGAATGGTTAATTGTCAACAGCTTTTTAGCACCAAAGCTGACTTTAGACTCGACCACGTTCGTAATCAAAAAGGTTTACCTTCGTTTTTAAATATTAACAAAGGGCCTTTTGTAGTGAATAACGGCTCCTCGCATTGCCAGCAGCAAATATGGATGTTTATACTGCGTTCAAGCGTCGGTGCACCAGCCTTTACACATGAAATTGCGCATAGTCTTTTACAAGAGTCTGGTAGGAGCGAATAGCAACGGTATAGAAATGCATTTCTAGAGGAAGAAACCAACTAAAGAAGGACTGTGTATGATAAAAAACCATGGGTTGCTGGGCATTTTTTACTATCAACTACGCGGAATGCGAGTTACGATTTCCGGATTGCCTATCACACAAATTCAAGCCTGCGAAAGCTGTGTATACTGACCTTTTTAATTTTCATAAAATATCCTTCGGAACATATCTTTAAGGCTAGGCTCGAAAGTGTGTAAGGAAGTTTTTGGCAAAATCCATCGGATACCGCGGAATTATCGCGTAGCATTCATAAGCTGTCAATGGTTGGTCAGTAGTGTAAAAAATACAGGATGATTAACCATGTCAACAACTAGCATCTGTGCTGGGTCTGAAGCATTCGATCAAACTGAGGCCCCTCTGCGGCAATCCGTCTGACGGTCTCTGTACCTGCCATTTGGACGTTTATTCCGACATGAATGAATACATCAATCCGCTTGTCCCTCGAAACAAAGAAAATCCTAATGGTTGACAGATACTGTAAACAATTAGCGACTTAGCAGGCCGAACTCGGCCAGGGGATGGTAGCAGACGAAGTGCCGAGAGGATTGAGTCTAAAATTAGACAGTACTGTCTCGGTTTTATTGTCCCTTCATCCAAACAACCATGCGTCTGGCCAATATCTCTCGACAATCTCCCTGCTCGCAAGCCCTGTTCAACTTCGGCCCGACAGATAACTACCTTTTAGTGTCCTTGTCTACTTATCCTGATATTGTTTACTCTGAAAAGTCGAATGAATCGCATATGCTTATTCATATATAAAGACGACATTTTTTCACTCTGATACACGTGGAGCTCTTTACCTGACCTTGGAGCCTCAAGGCACGGCTAGTACAGGCGATTTCATAGAGTCGAGCTATCAACTGCCAGAATACTAATAGGGACTGGGGTTTTCTTTTCTCGGTTCTGTGAGATAAAGAAAGTTATCTCATGAAGACTTAGTTAACTGAAATACTTGGTTAATCGGAAAGGCATACAATTGTAAGAAGCATGTCTTTGTTTGTTGGTCTGGTTTGCTTTTCCCTACGATGGCGGGAGTCGGCGCAACGTACTTTTGGATTCAGTCCAGGTTTTCATTTCTGTTCGGAATCGGTTTATGTACTAATGTCAACTGTTTTACCTGAATTTCGCCTTCATTCCAGAAGCTATATCGCTGTCATTGTCAGTAACTATTTGGACCTTTGCATTCGCGAAGTTTATCGTCATCTATTTCCTTCAAAACAGCGTCGTTGCCGGCTAGATGTGGGATACACTGTTCCATGTATTTTAACCTTAGCAGAAAAACGCCAGAGAGACTGTGAAAATGTGTCTCCTTCCCTGCTTAAATTATGTGTCTTTTCAGCCGCATGTTTTATTTCGAAATAAAAACGCAAACCTGCGCCAGGTATTTACAAAGTAGATCAGGATGAACACCGTTTAAGGGGTTTAATCAAGCTTGTGAATTGAATTATCACTCAGGATTGAACCATGATGAATGTTGAGATTTCGATTAACTGAGTCCTCATCGGGAACCGCCCAAGCCCTCCTCTGTTCGCGCGGCGGCTGCAGACACATTTGCAAACATGCATTTTGGCATAAAAACCGTTTTTTGATGGAATAAACAGCAGGCTGACATATATCTGTTCTCAGTTGTGAATTTACATGTAGTAGATGACTGAGGTGTTGATGCATCTGTCCCATTTGGTGTGCTGAAAGCATTGACGTATAGACATAGACTATGATTGACCTTTTTAAGGGCTCTTAGGCATTTCTCCTCTACGTCTTCGAAAACACCTTAAACCTCGTAAGGCCGTTCAGGCATAATAAAAATGTCTGGTACACCATAAGGTAGACCAACAGTAGTTCCATGGTGTGGGCGTAGAAAAAGCTTTGGCACTGTTTACCTGGAAAGAACTGCCTCAGATATCAGCGCATTTTTTATTGTATGTTATGTAAGTAATATGCCAAATTGAAACCATTATTGTTACGGCGCTCAGATCGGCATGACCAATCCTATACGTATTTGGATATTGAGAGGTAATTAACTATGTATTAGTAATTTTGATTCTAGATAAATTTAACCCACGACAGGCCTCATTTAAGTGACTAAATGGCTTTAACTTCAGCCCTTCGTATCTGCTGACTTCAGGCGGTAAAATGCACCTACAAATATAAAAATAAGGAAAATATTCTCTGCTGTTGCGTCCTACTATTTTTGTCATAAAACAGCTGGACAATTGTGCCAAATTACCCAAAGACGATAATTTTTAAGATCCTAGTTAGCCTATTTTGCTGAACAACCCCCCGTCCCTCTTTGACCTTAAAACCAGATTTTTACGGTATTTGGGATGCAAACAAACTATTATGGAATGTCGGCTACCTACAAGAATCTTTCGCTTGTTAATTAAAGGTCATCTGATGCTGTTTTTTGACTAGGTGTTGTTTTCTAGGCTACTGACGACGCAGACGTATGCGGTGCGTTAATAACCACCTTTAGACTGTTTAAGTCCTTATAGATGTTAACCATTTTGCAAAACGGATGAAATCGTTAATAAGGCAGAAATAAAACTGCTTAGATTTGCATGCTCTATTCTAAGAATTTTGAAGGTATTTCTGGCTTAATTCAGTTCCTTCTATATACGTCCTCTTCGACGATTCTTCTGACAGATCACAGAAACCTTTTAAATATGTTCGAGCAAACCACACAGTCAGTGAATGATCTCATGGACTATTAACCAAAATCCTGGAAAGTGTTTTTGACTAGGAATGATGACTTGTATTGGCTCATGATGCTGTTTATCGTGCAGCTTAATTGTGAAATATCTCATTCACTTCCTCTCTGTCACCTACACCATACGGCAAAAAATTCCTAGACAAGCAATATGTCCTAATCAGTTCACATATTTTTATAGAAAACATGCATAAAAATACTATGTTTGCGCTTACCTAGAAGACAATTACATCTTCTTTAAACGTTACATTCGCATCTTTCGATTTTGAAAAGCTTATGGTTTTCGGAATAATTTTGTGTTCGACCTGCCGTTTTATTTGAATTTATGGTTAAGACTCTACAAGATGTATATCTTCAATGTTTAAAAAAATACGCATTTCTCTGTCACTCAACGGATACTGGATAGGGCTCCTAGAACTTTACAATGGATGTGAGCTATGTATTATATCTCATAAGAAGCGTAAATAAACGGACAGGTATGATACTATTTAAATGGGCATCGCACCCTCCTAGAAATTTTATAATTACAAACTCTTTTAAATCAAATGACATCCCTAATTTCAAGTATAAGATTTAAATAAACTGTGGCTTGCTACGAAATAAGTATCGAAGACACATCTTTTCATTTCTTTCACAAATAGAACTCATATTTATTGGGACATAGAAAGTCAATAGAAACATTTATACTATTTAACTCATCCCGTTTTCTTAGCCAGGTTTCGTAGGCAGCCTAAACGAAGGGCTGTCAAAAGCTAGCCTCCTGTCATGGTAATGCACTCTACTCGGAGGGGAATTTCGTAATCTCAATTAACTTTCTATGTGATCGGTCAATGACTGTAAGTGGCAAACATTCTGCCTGCTAATATACTTCATAGTGAGCGACAGATACTGTGCTTTACTAAACTGTGCGATTTAGGAAGTCACTGATAAAACATGCATCAAGAAATGGCACCGGGTTACAGCGGGACAGGCTAATCCTGCACCTAGTGGCGCAATGAACCAAAACTTTCCAGAAACTTTGATGGACTAAACCTCAGAGCTGTGCGGTCGACAGCAAAACGGAGGTTTTAGGATACGTGTCAGACTATTCATAATCACCTTCTGTACATGTTAGCAAATACGGTACGCCTCTTTCGCTCTTACATCATACGGTCTCGCAATCACGGTCAGAGATCATCCATTCTAACTTGATGATGATCGGCTTTAAAGTAGCAGACTTTTATCGGCAATGAAGTCCCAAATGTGGGTTAATTTCAAGATTTGGTGCTCAACAGAGACTGCTGACACCGCATTGAATGGCATTTCTGCGTTCCCTCAGTTTTATTTGCAGTCTTTTTCATTCAACAGGTACAGCAGTGGCATTCAGTACGCAGAGGCAAGCTGATAAAATCAGACTGTTCAGCTCACTTAAGTCAGTCCTTCGTGCGTATTAAATTTCTGCATATCGTTTGCGTGTGATACCGATCTTAACTTGGTCACATTTGCTCTCGCTGCCTTGGAGTCACATCTACTGTAAGTCGACCATGGCCAGAGGGGGCTTCCCACTTGTAGTTCCCGGTAATACGTGCCAACGTCAATTTCGCAGACGCCAAATGACGCAACATCGACAGTAGCCATTCCTCTAGGTTTATTACTGTGGTTTCAGATATGGTCATCTATATCTCTTAGATGCTATCCTGAGTGTGCTTCCACTGATGTAAGATCATCACGCAACTTTGCTTTCATAATATGTGGTGGACGCTGCACCACATCGACAGTAAATGCCTGAATCCTTCCTTCCCCGCCAAAAAAGAATACTCAGCTTGAGCACTGATTTTGTTTTATCGATTTTTCCGTGGAAAATGCTCGTGTTTATCACGGAGCCATCACCAAATGGAGAATATACGCCCGCCTGTAGGCGAGGCCTTTACTAATCATCTGACTATTGTTATTAAAGCAGAGTTACTCAGGTGGCGAACAGATCACAAGGAATATAAATTGAGGCGCATTATCCATGAAGTTAGCAGAGATCACCTCCTCTATTGGAATAGCATTTGTGCTTTGAGAATTTTTCGTCGAAATGACATCGAAATTTTGATTTTCTCCTGAAATGTTATTAAGGGAACTTAAAGGTAAATTGTTGCAAACACATTTTTTCCTTTTGCATGCTGCTTCGTGAGGTTGCCTATTCTCGCTACTTTTCCTTAGTTTCCTCACTATTTTTGACATTCCGACTTCAACCACTTTTGATGAATTTCTAAGATACCAAGATTATATGCTTGTGGTGAGACGCTGAAAATTACTCACTGTTCACTGACAATGATCGTACATTTCAGTGGCCCTTTTAATTTAATCTGGTCTGCATGAGATTAAGTCACGTTGAGCACTTTTATCGTGTTGGGGATTGTTAGTTAAATGCACTCAAATTCCCAAATAGCAGAAATAGTAAACTGCATTTCGCTATTCCCTAAGCCAACAGTCATTTTCGCAATTTCTGATTGTCACTCTTTGAGCTCACTCACCGTACTAAGCTCACTGGACGATCTGCAGGTTTTTTTCCCCGTTCCCAGGAAGTTTAAGATAAGGTCTTTGCCAGTGGCTTTTAAGAATCAACTGTCAGCATGCATAGGAAATTTTAGCGCATGCGTCTCCAGTACTGCGCCAAATCCCTACGGCGTACCAGGACATGAGTGTTAATGACACGCACTGAGGGAATTCAGACATTCCCCGCATGTCTTGTCAGATGCAAAGAAGAAAATTTCGGAGGATGCTGGAAATATTAATGGGAACAAGTGAATGCAAGCCAAAATGCAACATCCGCCCTCGCCTTCAACATCGTTAAGGCCTGCGAACTGCCGCTTTTAATATTAGCACACATCAAGTTGGTGGCTGGCAGAACAGAGCTCCTGACAGAAAATATCCGTCGGGGATTGTCATGCATGCAATTCGAGCGTGAAGGACTGATGATTCCAACTTCCTGCGGTCGCCTGACTCGTTCGTTAGCATCGGTAGAACCGGACACTAATTTTCTTAAACGACTTGTGAAAATAACAAAACTTGTTTTATGTTGCACTGCGTCCTACTAAAGTTTGTAATTACGCTGATCACTTTTCTCTAGGAGACAGAACTCTTCTACCTTAGAACATTTATCCCAAGTTAATTCCATCAAAGCAAGAGGATCAGAGTCGTCCAGATCGATTGAGATGGGAGGTAGCTTTGTAGAAAACTAATTTCCTAGGTGTAAAGATGAGGTTTCGGGTCCACAAGCCCACATGTTTTCTGTTATGGCATTGCGCAAGACGTCTACCAAGGAGCCATCTCAAATAGCTGGAGACGTTTGCCACGCTGATTTGCAGTCGTGGCCTGTGACTTTTACATTGGTTAATCATTTTTGACATTATTGTTTACTCAGGCCTAAAGGTAACTCATTAGCAACTAGCTTTAGTGAAGTGCGTTTCCAAACATGACACCTGCAAAGAGCCAGTTAGCCCTTGATCGGACTGAAAGATAGATCTCCTCCTACCAAAGTTTCGTCGTTAGATTGGCCGATAGGATATGGTTTTATCATAATGACATTAAGGCCATATGCACTCATTTTATTCCAGCCGTCTTTTGCAAAATCACTGCGACCGTTGATCGCCTAGTACAGCCACAGTGAATGAGTGATTTCATGAAATGTTGGCCGAAATTCTGAAATGCGTTTTCGATTAGGAAGGATTACTAGGGCGCGGTTGTTATACTGATTATTTTGCAGCATAATCCTATTATCTTTTAGCCTCGGCGGGATGTCGTCTTTTGGATGCACTGTTTTTTAATCTCCTGTAGAAACTGTACTTGATAAAAAATGACTAATTAATTAGCATGTAGTTTCCCCGTTGATTTTCAATGGTCTTGCAAATTCAGATATAATTTACAGGAACCACGAGGAAAATATGCTTTCTTTCAGTCGTTTGATACAGAACCACGTCATCTTTTGATTTTACACTTTATGATTTCTTTACCAAGTTTCGTTAAGTTCGCCGAAAATGTCAAAACCTAATAACTGGGTTATCGCAGCTTAGCTATATTGCAACTGTCCAGACAGAGTTCCACGTTCCAACTATGCATGACTTTTCGAGCCCTGGTTTGCCGTAATTTGAGGAATGCTTCAGTCGGTGGAGAATGAAGAAAGGAAATCGCGAATTGGCCGCGTTAGTCTTTAGACGATGAGGAGTAAAACATATTTTTGTACTGTCAGAGGCCTACCACGGCCACAGGGTTTTTGCATTTCTTGTTTGTACATTTTTGCTCTTTTTGTTATAACTAGCGGTGAATTCCTAACCGTGAGTGAACTCTTTTATTCTTGCACTACACAAATGCCTTCTTTTTCGATCTAGTTCATCAACGTCGCAAACAAGTTTATTGGAATCGTTAATCTCGTTCTCCTCATGCTTCTACTCGGCCACTGGAATGCCTGCCTCCAATTCCTCATCCCCATGCTGAATGAATACCCCACCGACAGCTGGGTCATGAAATGCAAATTAAGGGTAATTTTCAGAAACGCAGCAGCTGAATGCATTTCTGGTGAACCATGAAAAAAAAGTCCCTCTACATGCATTTTTCTAAAGATTTCAAGATTCTGTCTGGACCAGTTCATCAAGTGGATAGGCCAAATGGACCCTCATTTATCTACTTTGAACATCTAACTGTTCATAGGTTGTTTTACAAGGTAAAAGGCCATGTACAACCAGTTAATGGCCCTTTCAAATCTTCTCTTTTTATGGCTAGCTAGGACGCGTGCATAAATAATGCGTTTTTTATTTTATATCGTAATTTTGGACATTTTTGCAAAATAATTCTAGGAAAACCTACGCCTGTCCATGTTTTGACGAGGTCCTTTGTCATGCGTAAAAAATTATTGCCACATCGTGCCATTACTGACCTTTTGTGGCGCAAAGAAGACATTTCTCCACTTAAAGTACAAACTATTCCGTAGATTATAAAGCCCAACTTAGCAACGAAGACAAAAGAATGCGGGTTCGCATGTTTAGGAAGTAGTTGGCGTACGGAATATAATATATGCAGATTCACGGGCAATGTTTCGGCAATCGCGAACCGGACCAAATATATTAGCCACGATGAACAGTCTATAATAAGCTATTTTCAGTCAAACCTAAACATAAAAAAATCGAAAAAGATACTTTGCTTGCCAAAAACAATAGCATTATTAATGAAGGCGGAAATAAAGAAAACCGAAGAAATAATGTAAGTTGTGTAAAATGAGTTTACAGAAGTCAAAACGTTTCCATATAAAAACCGAGTTAATAAAATAGGAGTAACAAAACAATATTTAAATAACATCTTACAGAATCCTCTAGGTAAATAAACTCGAAAAATATTCACAGTATTAAGTTGGACAACTAGTCAAATGTTGCATATTTTATTACGACTCAGGATGGTGTTACAGCAAGTCGACTTGACTTATCCGTTTTGTCAACTAACTGAGATATGCTTAATTAAGACAAAGAAGACTCCCCTTGATTTTGTAGATTGGGGTGTCAAAAAATCAAGTTCGTCTAATCAGAAACTAACAACGTTAAAGCAAAATTTACTCAAACGATCAGTAGTTTTCCATCTTCTGCGTGGCATGCGAAAATTTTCTCCGTAAGCTCACCTTGCATTCATGATTGCCAGGCAGCTGGCTAAAATTCAAGGCGTCTTTTATGTTTCCATGAAAGCTTTGTGGTTTTAACTATTGTCATGCAGTTGCCCAAAATACTATGCCTTTTAATTTGTGTATATGAAAACCATCAGCGTAAGAGAGCGCTTGAAATACTGTGTCTATAAAGAGAGCTTTATGCGTTTTGTTCGCAAGGGGTGGCGACCTGAACACGTTTTCATAGGTAGCCACGTATGACAACAAGCAGGCCAAAGAATGTGGTTCCTCAGCTGAATCATGTTAGGAATATAACCTTGATCAAATTACGATCAACCCCTTTTAAGTTATCACATCGAAATTGCTCAAGAAAACTATTTCGTCGGTAAACATCCACCTACTTTCTTCTTTTTCAATGTATATTTGGAGAACACTTAAGACAATCTTCGCTTTCATCCACGTTTATAACAGATTTCCAAAAGCTTTTACGAGAAATGAAAAAACCGCCCTTTCTAGTTTTAATGAACCTGTACAGTCATGTATGTTCATTGTTATGCTATGTAACAAGATTACAAGAGCTCCAGAAGGGAGTCATCTCAGAACAAAAATGTGTCCAAACAGTTAGTTTAGTGTCCGTTTACTTCCTACAATACTCATCAGCTAACACTCAATCGTATAAATGGTATGCTAAATTACGTCGACAAGCTAAAATGGCTGCTTGATGACAACACATCTAGAGGTTACTCGTGAAACGCTAGGATATATCCATAACTGGCGGATGTCTAAAACATGAGATTATCTTTTGAAATTTACAAACCCGTATTCCTGAAAGGGAAAACGCTTCTAGTTTTTGGAAAAAAGAACGTTTATCCACATTCTTTCTCACCTTGTTTGTGCGATACGAACAGTCAAGTTTTAAATTGTCGACCGTTGTTCTGCGTATCTGTCTCAATTGCACAAATTCTCCCTCTCCAACAAACATGGACGAATATGCAGATGTAGTCTAACACAGTTACCAGGACGATAAACAGCCTTATAATTAAGTTACTTCTATCATTTCTCTTTACGATAATTACATTTATTTACTTCAGTTACTTACACTATGCCAGCGAATGCATCGTAAGCTGTGCTAAGTCGCAGTTATGGCTTTTAAACCAGGACAGTAGTTAAATATTTTCACCTAAGAAATTCACACAACGTACGCTTTTTTCTCACAGAACGCCGGATGGTTTGAGCAATACACATGGGCCCTTTTCAAGGCAATGTCCCACATGCTCTCAATAGGTTACGGCCGGTTCCCACCGACGAGCGCAAGCGAAGCCTGGATAACCATCATCAGCATGATGACGGGATCCACTTGTTACGCTCTCTTTGTTGGCCATGCAGCCGCACTCATTCAATCCTTCGACTGCTCCAAAAAGATGTACCGTGAAAAGGTGAGATCTTGGCCTCTCAAGCAATCATTTCGCATTGTAATTTTTGCCTACCCTCGCGCCACTGGGCATCACTAAGTATTCATATTCGATTTTTGAAGAACTTTTTGATTTTGCAGGATTTTTTGATGCCGGCAGGTTATTTGTTTGGTTCAGTTCAGGTGGGTTTGTTTATGCCGTTCGCACCGTTGTCGTCTCAATCCAGTCGTGCGGAAAATTTTATTAGTTTGTTTGTAGAAGAGACTTGGTAGGTGGTTTGGAACTTTGAAAATCAGCAAATCACCTTTGCCTTTTCAGTGATATATTAGTGGTTTTCTTCTAGTAATAAACTAGCAAAAGTGAAATTTGGACATCTCTTGGGAAATCTAGTGCATTTCATCGGTATTTCATCAGTAGGATCCGTGTCTCATTTGACCTTAGTGGAAACTCCGAAATAAACTTTCCGCTGGACTAAAAATACATAGACGGGGTTTAAGGAATGAACGCCGTGTGGCGAAACTTCATAACAGTTAATTCACTTGAGGATTCTGCTTTTAAAATCATTTCTTTCAGGTCGAGTTCAAATAATAAATTTCAGTAAAAGTGGCTACTTAAATCGCGCGGGTGCTTCTCATTAAACTTTGGATGAACTTACGGATTCTAATGTAATTTTTAAAAGGCATGCATTAAAATATTCCTTTTCACTAATTTGACAAAACGGTGCATTCCATTACAGTTTCCATAAAGAAGGAGTTGTATTCTCAGTTCAAAAATAAGCAAAAATTCTTTTGTTGGTGTTCGTTGCGAAATATGCATGGTCGGTAAGCTTTGCATAAGTTTGCAAACTATGCACTGTAGTTTCTAACAGCGAAGAGTAATGAGGAATTTTTCCTAAAAGGAGGGTCGCAGCTGGTAGTTCTCGAATGCTAGACGTGAGTAGAAAGTCTGTCAGATCTATGAGGCAACAGGAATTAAAAGAAAAAGTAGAGGAACATGACAGTTCCGATCAGGCACTTAAATAAAAAACCTGGCAAACACTTCCGTACATTAAAAACTTGTTTGAGCTCGTTGAAAGACACCACAGGAAAACATCAAATACAAGTGGCGCAAAAATGGATGACCACATCATGCAACCAGCTTGTATGCCATAAGGAGAAGGTTCGCTATTTAGACAGGAAAGAGGTCATCTAAAAGATTTCTGCGATGCGGTGTACTGCGACCAAACTGGAAAGTCGGTCTCTACATGCACACCCGAACATTAACTGGCCGTGAAGAGGCAAGACCATCCTGCTTCAAGTTGTCACTCATAGACTGTAAGCTGATCACAAAGTTTCTTGGGAAAAAGCTTTCAGTCGTGGTGCTTGTCTGTCTAAAAAAGCCGAGAATTTTCGAAAGCTATATATACCAATGAACCATGAACTAACCCGCGCATTGAAACAAGCATCGTGTACAATAATCTCAAGACGAAGAAAGAGGTCACAGCCATTCAGCACGAGATTTCGATCCAGGTCATGAAATATTGGTAGAAATAATAGGGCAGTAAAGATTTTTTGAGATTTTTGCAAATTTTGATCGTTTAGCACATTTGTCACAGGCTCGAAGACGTCTTCGGGAACCAGTGTTGAAATTTGCGGAATAGATTTTGTCAACTTTCCCAAAAGACTTAATTTTTTCATGTTTATATGTTTGAAGATAGTAGATTCTTTGGAAAAGTATAGACTTTCTTAATAAATTTTTGACGTCGGTTCTTCGGTCATCGTCGCACTAAAGTAAGTGAACAAAAAGAGGTCAAAATTTCAAACGCGCCCAAAAAATCACTAACCTTCCAGCGTCTCTGTCAACAAGCGTCCGTCGCATATGGTATTGTAGATCGATTGTTTCCCGCCCTTTCCACTTGTCAGCGAGAAATTTTAGGCAGGAAAAGCACCGACTATGCGAGTTTTGTTCCAGGCAAATGTATGCTCAGTATCTAATGCGTGCATAGCCATTTGAGATAGGTGGTCTTACCTCTTAACACTTAACTGATGTTCGTGATGCGTGTGGAGGTACACCTCCCAGTTTTGCCATGATACGCACCATTGCATGCCTCTCATGGGATCTTAAAGTCCACTTCTTACTTCTGCACACGCCTTCATGAACATCAGTTAACTGGAGCCATGGCTTTTAGCTCCGATACGCACATATTTATGTATATCTCGATACGATGTGGTTTAAACACAATACTGTTGGGGTTGGGGTTAGGGGTTATGGTTAGGAGGTCAGGAGTTATATATCTCTTTCATCATCTCCAAAAGAAGACGAGGAAGAAAAAGAGGGGATTTTATGGACCACACTCTATTGGTGCTGATGACTTGGAAAGTTCCTCGTTTCAATCATCTGAGTGATGGGGTGTCTGTTTCTGCTAGCCTAGAGTTGTTCTGTTTCGCCGCCCGTCTCGTGTTACAGGCATGACTGACGCACAGGCTTCGACTTGCCTTCCGGCCGGGGATTGGCCTACCAGGCGTTACGTACAAGGCTCCAGTCCGTCCGGACGGGGCCGACAGCACTCGCGTACGGGTCGCGGCTCCTCCAACAGTTGTCACCTTCCCCACAGGGGGTAAAGAGCCCGTCGGAGGTCACACGACCAACATGAGACATCGAACCACTGACACGTTCAAGCAGTCGAACGGGATTCGCAAATGCAACGGCAGCTGGTCAGCCCATCCGATTATGGGGGGAGGACCCACGGGCACGACAGCCGGGCAGGGGGTAGGGGTCCTACGAGTGCGCCAGCGGTTGCCCACAGAGGAAATCCTCAGCTAGAAGACAGGTCAGAGTTCGTGCCTATAACACGAGACAGGCGGCGAAACAGAACAACTCTAGGCTATCAGGAACAGACACCCCACCACTCTGATGATGGAAACGAGGAAGTTTCCAAATCGTCAGCGCCAATAGAGTTTGGTCCATGAAATCCCCCCTTTTTCTTCTTCGTCTTCTTTTGGGATGATGAAGGAGATATACATAAATATGTGTATCACGTTCATCATCTCCCGAAGAAACCGAAGAAGAGAGGGCGAATTCATAGACCCAATGGACCATGAATTCGTTCCCTCTTCTTCTTCGTTTTCTTCTGGAGATGATGAACGCGATCTAATGTCTGAACCTCGAATCTTTATGCATATCAATAAATATGCTTGCATCGGAGCTAGAAACCACAGCACCAATCAGAAGATGGAAATAATAAAGCCTCTGAACGCCTGCACAATCACGTTTTGGTCTATAAATACATCTTCTTTTCTTTGTCATCATCGTGGAATTGTGAAGGTGATACACATGCAAGTAGACCAGAGTTGGTATGCATTAAGAGCCGATATTGTGAAAAAAGGAAGACATTCTTCAGAAAATGCGAGCTGCACTCGTGAATTTTCGAGCTGGTGACACCAACCCGTCATAAGACGAAGTGAAAACGAGGGAAAAAGTTAGATGCTCATACAAGACAAGTTGACGCGACAGGATAGACACGGTGTCATGGTAAGTTCTGGGGGAGGGGAGGAGGGGAGAGGAGGCGGGACACTTAGCAGTTCCTTGTGTTAAAGGGGGAGGGCGGATGATGAATTAGTTGGACTTGGGCAGCTGAATCAGTGGTCATTGATGCGGGATTAGGGCAGGGGTTAGCAAGTCGGGAACGTAGGCCCTCGTAAGGGGCGTCTCGGTCAACATGGCGGTTGATACCATCCACACTAAAGTGTCAAGCCTCGAGACATTTCCTCGCTCTTTTGCGTTGGCCATAGTCACGACCTCAGTGCCATCCCAAATGGGTCGAGTGCGCGCGCAAGACCGAGGCACAGGGAGTCTCGACGACGGACAGCTAGTTTGTGTTTATTAGTACGGGTGCCCCGTCGTCGACCCGTATGACCAACATGCACGCGGGAGCAACTAGCACACTGGATGCAACCAATGACATTTATTTGTTGTGCGTTAGGGATGGCGTCCCTGATCTGAGATAGTAGTGTGCGTAGTGGAGATGCTGGCTTGTGGACAATGCGAAAACCGAGACGGACGATTAATTCGAAGGCTCCCTACATATAAGGCGCGCGTAGAATTTCGTTCCACAATTTCCCAGTTCGGGGTGGATCTTGCGGCCGTACCTAATGACTGAGGCTGTGACGCGCCTGACCGCTAATCCAGCCGCCCAATTCCAACTGATTCGACATCCATCCTCCCTTTTTCAGCACAGGGAGCCGGGAGTGTCCCGTCTTCCCTCTCTGCTCCTCGCCCATAAACCTACTATGACATTGAGACCACCCCGCCCTCACACGCCAACTTTCTGTCTGTCCGGTCACACCAACTACTCTAGTGTGACAATCTAACTTTCGCTCACGTATTCCTTTCTTCTGACGACGAGCTGGTGTCGCCCGCTCGAAAATCTACGAGTGTAGCTCGGTTTTTTCGAAGGACATCCACTTTTTGCATATGTATACACATATACATGTTGATGCCAAAGGCGTTCTTTGGGACAAGGAACCGTATTGCGTACATTTTCGGCGCTGCTTCCCCAGGTCGTCGTCAGATGCAGACTGAGAGCAAATGTGCCGACAACAGTTAACATCTAGCAGTGCACTTTAAAATCGATAACTGTTGACGCTTACGCCCGTGAGCGGCCGCTATCTGTGCCATTCTGTCCCGATTGGCTGTCGTCTCCTTGAAACTTTTGTACGCGGCGTCCAAACTCGTTATGTCGGTTGATGCACGATTCATCCGCATGCATGGCCTTGAGGAATTCTCGACTTTTCTTGAAAGGGCAGACACCGACAATTCGAGTTCTGTGTACATATATGTCGACTAAAGGAGGTAGTGCGCATTCCGAGATGATATAATGAAAGAAGACGACTTGTCCGGAAACCGAGTTGTACTTCTGATTTGTCAAGCCGTTTATACTAACTCAATGTTAGACGAAATGAGCGGTTACAGGTAGAGCCCTTGATGGCCCTATTAATGTATAATAAATTGGTAACAATCGGGAGATGGCACCCAAAAAATCCGTTACCTAGAAATGCTACATTTAAAAGTGAACTCAAATGCCTTCGGTTTATATCAGCGGTTGCAGGTCCACTTTCACGCACTTTTTGGACTTTCCGCGACGGCCTAACATGGGCTGGCCGAACGAACATCGCAGGAGGTTACATGGACGATGGTCGCTGTTACTCAACCTTCCCCATCGTTATACACGTACACCAGAATATTCGGCATACATTCGCATTATAGCAGTTTATCACAAAACAGCATCACTTTTAACTAGGATAAGTCTGCACAACACGGGACAGGAACAGTTCCCAGGCATCTGTCAAAGGCAGGACATTAAGGCCAAACCAAAGAAGATACTGTAATTCGTCTATTTGAGTCCACACAGCTTGACCACATGCAGGGCCTCCCTCGTGGCGTTTCCTTTTCAGTCTACTCCAGTACGCCTCAGTGGCATTGGTGTGCCGTCCGATGGTAGGGTCCTTGAAGTTCTTTGAGTGGTTAACAGACGAATGTAGATAACCTTCTGAGGGAAGACGATTGTACATCTTCCACTCGTCCGTTATCACTATACTGTCTTTCTCGACCCATTTTATAATGACGGAACGGAGAGTGGTTCAACTTCGATCGTACACCTGTTCAAATAAGGCTTTCCGTCGGCTAATATCGTACATCACGACCAGCTAACACCCATTAAACCCCTATTACTACCTGTCCCGTAAGACAGGCCGCTTTGGTTAGGCTGATTTTTTGGGTGCCATCTCCTGATTTTTAATAATAAATTTGCATATTTACACTGCGAATAGAAGTGCAAATATTTAAATGTGGTCTCTCCATATTAAAAAATAATTTTTAAAAAATTAACGTCGGCCTTTACTGTGACTCTCTTCGGAAGGCGTGTGGATCACAAAGTGTTTTTCAAAGCTGCCTGTGTTCTGTACGACGGTTTTTGCCAAAAATTACACGATGAAGTTGTCTTCCGATCGTGTGGAGTGGGATAAACGAACTAGAACGTTCGGGGACACAGAATTTGCATCGATAGACAGAAAGCAGAGTGTGGAGCTGAAAAGCTTGTTAAGATAGATGCCGGAATTTATTCAGTTTTGTTTAGTTGTGTTAATAAGGCGCCGAATCACAGAGACACCGCAGGCGCTGGGATTTCGCGAAACTTGTTGCCGCAACACAAACAGCACCAGCCACCGTTTTGACCTGGATACACACACCACGATCGTTTGTGTTCACGGTTCACTGACTTGTGCCCTCTCCAAAACAACAGCTGCTAGTCTAGGCATGGTAATGATGAATCCCACCGATTCGGCACCTCTGCATCCAATTTAACACGTTTTCAAACCCCCACACGCGTTTCTGTCGGTTGATGCGATCTCTGCGTCCATCAACGCACCAGTATAATAATGTACCTGCAGGTTAGTCATTTCGTCCAAAGGCGGGTTGGTACGTACGACTAACATGAAATTTCACGAACAGAACTCGATTTTCCGCAGTTATTCTTTCTTAAATTTATTTGGTCATCATACAATTACGCTCTAAGTCCATACAGGCAGACGCCATGGCTTTAACTGGCAGTATGGAAATGCATATTTTGATAAATGTGTCAGACTGGCCAATTTCTTGATAAAAATCGCTTTTGCCTTCCCGTTGAGAACTAAAAAGTACGTAGTATTTACGCAGACGCTTGGCGCCAAGGCACAAGCCTCTTTTACTAAATCATCCGTCAAAAGCCATTTGTGCATCGCTTGCTGTGTTTAAAAAAAACACTTATATTTTGCATATCGCTTGATGAATCTTAAAGTGGAGATAAGCCCCACTGGCTAAACAGGGGTTGATAGAAAGCACTTTTAACAGCGGAGAGTATTTTGCCCATGTGTCTGTCTCAAAGGCTGACAAACAAATTCTAAATTTGAGCAGTGTAGGCTGAAAAACACGATTATGGTCACGGGGAGCTTTATGTCTGGAGAAATTCAGGAGCGAAAGAAGTGACTCTGCTCATTGGACACCAACTCAAACGTGAGCCGATAGCCTACAAAACCGAAAATGGGCGTAGTAACGGGCAAAGAAAAAAAATTCCAATCAGAATATGCCAACAGAGGGACAGTGATAACGCCTTTATGTGATTTTTGCGCAAACGTTTTGCTAGATACTAAACTAAATTTTGAATATGAGGATTCTATTTCATGGAAGCACAGCCTGGGGCATCATTACCCAGGGGATATTACTTTAGTCAGCACCGGGCTGTTGGTAAAAACATTAAATTTTGTAATATATCAGTTTAAACCAGAAGACAGCAGACTATCGAAGAGATTAGCAGAAATAATCCAGCTTGGTCGTCTTCATCAGTTAAATTGTGATCTAAATGTGAACGGATAAAAAGTGATGTGCAGTGATTTTCGCTAGACGAAACTTGGGGAAATGGCGGTTCACATAGTAAGAAACGACTGGAAATATAAAACAGTCATACGAATTTTCTGTACGCACCCCAAATTTGGCGTAAACTGACGCATCATGTCTGCCGATTTACTAGTAGTGCGGCCATTCCCCACGCCTGTCAACTGACCGACTCGAGCAGTGGCTGGAGGCATGGAATGGGAAGAGAGAGTAATGTCGACGGCTCAGCGCATTTTCCTCACTACAAAAAATCTGACGCGCTTGAAGCCACCACAATGTGCTAAAAGCTTGTGGCTTGGAAGGTTGCCAATTGACAGAAAAACTTGGATCTCGCAGTCGACGCAGTGTTGGGGGTTTATATGGAGCGGCCGACTAGTGGTCTAAGAATCGGGTAGCAATGGCTCCTCTTTAATGTGGCCTTTATGGCACTCCTTCTCCGAGGGACCCTAGCCGGTTGTGACAGCACGGCTAGATGCAGCTTTGGCTGCGCCAATCCCCGCTTTGTTGTTGTTAATCAAAATCCCAGTAATATGTTCTTTGTGGACCAGCTGATGTGGAGTGGAGCGCCAAGGTGCGGGCTCGACCGTGCACATCCACCTGTGCTCTCCGCGTCTCCGGTCTTCTCGACTTGGTCTTGACACCGGGTACAGATAGGGTAGGGTGAGAGAGTGCGGTAGATGCTGCGCAAGTCTACATTCACTATAGACTGACTTACGCGCTAGTCACCATGCCGTGGAGGACACGACGGACATCATCGGAAACGACAGTCGAACTGTCGGTGCGGCAGAATCCTCTGGAAACAAGCCTGGTTCTCGAAAGTCTTGCGAGCAGACTGCTGGGCGAAGGGTGAAAATTTAGCAATAAAGTGAACTTTGTAGGCTAAAAGTCCTTGCAGAAAAGTGCCCAGTTATATTCACAATGAGATATTCAGTGCAAAAACGCTGCCCCGTTGTTATACTGATAATCATTAAGTCCTAGTGTTTAACTTCAGTATGTATGGCAAAGCTATACTCTGGCGACTAGAAATCAAGATCTGAATGATTCGAATCGTGAAGAGAACTGACTGGCTTTAATGATCAAGAAATTCCAAGATGAGTTGATTCTGGGCACTGATAACGGGTCAACCGTCTGCCCCGGTCCCACGAGAAACGTTCCCTTGCAATGACGCTTAATCGCGTTCAAGGAAGTTGCCTGAAGTGGATGAAAAGGGCATGGCTGAAACAGACAGGAGTAAATGCATCGACGTTTCCTGGATGTAGGCACGAATAAATGAGTATTTTCGTTTAACTTCTTACGACCACTTACACTTCTGTGATTCTAGCATAGAAGCATTAAATGTGAACGCGCGTCGCGATAGGCAACCACTCATACATTCAATGTTACCTTCGCTTCAATGGGAACGTTGAATAATTCAGACTGGCAAAATGACTATCTCAGTACCCAAGACAATCAATGTACTTCGGTCATCTAGTGTATGACTTCTGGAGGAAAAAAGGATGGTGCACTCAGGACAAATGGTTTACACATCTACGCCGATAATGGATTGTTAGGTATTTTATTTTCAAAACAGATGACCAATTCATGCAAGTTTATGAGGTCATAGCCCCTTTCCTATTAACGTTCTACATCCAGTCCAGCAATTCAAAGTTACTTTTCGTAGCTCCTCAAGAGATTCATAATATCATCTTTTTATTGCATCGGTTAATGAGGCGAATTGGCTGGGGTGGGTATTTACTCATATTTTTTCCCAATAATTTCCTCGTTCAAACTGTACAAATGCAATGGGGCTATTTTTCAGAATAGTAGGTACCGTCATTCTCACGGCAATTCGCACCTGTGCTTTAAACTGGTGTAGGTCCTGGATTCATGGTGCAAAGCCTACTCATTTTTTCAAAAGACTGTTCGACAAAAACAACTTTAGACCGACGCACAGTGTCCCCATTTTCTGTCAGTTCAGAGGGGGGAAAATACCTTTTCTACTATTCGCTCCCGCAGATTTAAATGCCAAGCATTATTGTAAGGCGGCCTAAAATTCAGTCCGTACATGAATTCTGCAGAAGCAGCTTGATAACCTACTGTCACATTTCCTGAGACTATATCGGAAATTTTGAATATTGGGATTTGCTTGTTTAAATGATGTACGATTGATGTTTTAAAGTAATATGCAGCTCTTATCCCACTGGTTGCATCGCCTCATATTTTTCCTTCTTTATGGCGTAACACGAGCACATGAAACAAAAAGAGAAACGAAGACCAACCCCTTAAATATCGTCCAAAATATCCGAATAAAACCGTAAGTAATACCGCGATATTGGTGAAAACTGAGACCACGTAGTTCTGTATCCAGACGCACTTAGAGGTAGCCTTAAATGGAATAAAATTGTTGGCATTTTAGAAGGATCGGTTACTCGTTTTTCAAAAAATAGAACGGATAGTCTAACTTTAGATAAAGCATACTTTCGAGCTATTGCTTCACATGTGTATATTTACTTTGAAGCAATTTGTCCGCCTATGCCGACTGTCTATAGATAATTCCTGCTCATATGGATGTGCGCATTTTCCATAAAAGACGCTGGCAGGTCAATCGTAATTCGCTGTCAAATGTCTTTAAATAAGGCATAAGACATCATTAAGTTACTAAATGACTGGTCATTTAGGACCTTCTGGTTTCAATGGGGATAGTACCAAAGAACGTAATGGAAACTGGAATTTTTCCGCAGTCAACCAGTGTAGGTATGTCGCCCAATTAGAAAATTTGAAGGTTCGATCATTGGTTCAGTTTTGTCTTAGAACTACAACAATACTTAACTACAAAACCGTAATGATTTTTCCAGGAAAGTCATGCTTCTCTTTTACATGTATAAGGTACTCTTAATTTACTGTCCTGCTATGTTAGCTTCATTTTAATGCAAGACGAAATCGTGTCTCAATTAGGAACTAGCCTACACATGGACTAGGCTGCATGTGGCTCAGCCAGACTTGTTTAACTAATTTGTAAATTTCCACGTCTTCAGTTAAGTGCCATCCTTTAGGTTGCCTTTGAACGTAAATATTTCAGTCGTTTTATGCATAATTTGCAAAGTATTTTATGGAGAGTATAACAAATGTTATCCTTCTTACTATTTTTTCTGCTAGACCCAGATTATTTGCTTAACCCTATAGGCCCTGAAATTGATATATTTCCTACATCAGAACTAGAGATTGATCAAAAGAAAGAGGCGCTGTCTAAAGTCACACTGCACACCGCATTAGTGGGGACGTCATTTACCCATTGTTTGGGTAATGCGAACTCCAGCATGTATACTCTTTTCATTCTTGTAGTCATCTAGGGAGAATCATAATGCAGTGTATGAGAATACTGAAACAGTTTGAGTTCTGTGATTACATTCCCTTATCTAACTTCGCACCAATTTAGTCTGTTAAATGAGAAATGAAAAGCAGATCCGGTCTATTTATCTAGTCCATGTGAGGTCAGGTAAGGGATTAACCTTGTCAAAGATGACTACTTAATAGACAGCAGGTGGATTTAGGGTCGCGAGGTTGATTAAAGATTAACTATCTGCAGCCCACATGTTTTTGCGGTTTGTGGGCTTACTCATCCTTACCCCGAAAGTTTCCATCACAAATAGGTGTTTAAAAGTCATACTGAGTGAACGGGGAGGCGCTTTTCATAATTAACGTAGGATTAATAGCCTGAAGACGTACCGCACACTGTTAAATACTGCATTTGATTTAGTTAAGAGTTCTCAAAGAATCTTTTGTTTTTTTAAATATCAACCGTTTGGGGGATTCTGTGTCAGATCGGTTGTTTTTCATACAACAACCGGGACAGAAAGCTTAATTAGAACGCCTCACTGCTACCTCAAGCTCCAACATGCACTTTTTAATCACGTGCTCTACCGGCAGTGGATATTAAGGGGTAATTAAGATTTGTTATGGGGTAACGGGCAAGATATCTTCAAATGTGTTAAGCCGCATGATTTGCCAGCAGACTATGTCAATTTTTCAAGGTCAAATCAATAACTGCAGGCACCGGGGTATCAGTCTTCACCAAGATCTCCCACCCGCATACAATAGGTGGCTGGCTCATTGTGTGCATCCAACACAAATAGACGGAAAAGGGCCGGCCCTCGTCTAATCGCTAATTGTCAAACTTGAGTATGTGACTGGCGTTCGACATCAAACTGTTACTTTCTCATCCCTTCATTCTTCCCCTTCTAATTTGGGTCCTTCAGTTATCAATACTCATTTACGCGCATATTTGCATGCTGTGGTTAACTGACAAAATTACTTTACATACGGTAGGTTTGTGTTTGCATTTTTGACTGGCGTTAGTGCCTTTCAAATGGGCCATGTGGTAGATGCGTGGGACCAACACTGGGGCCATATCGGATCCTAGAAGACGTCGTCGGGTGCGGTGGCAGAACCCGTTGACGCCGTACGTCGCGCACATTGGGACCCCTTGCGACTCTCCCAATTTTTGTTGTTGGTTTCTTTCAATAAATTCTCCCAGTCCAGTACTATTATTTGGTAGCAGGGTGCAGTCAAACATGTCAGTAATTGGAAACTCGGCAAAAGTTTAATTTTGAACACAGGCGGGATGAGAGCGGAAGGGCGCGGAGAGTTGCATGGGGTTAGTCAACCTTTGACCACGGTCAGCGTGGAGCCTGAACGTGGGGTCGCTTTTCGTAACCTGATTGCGGTCTCTTCTGTTGTTGCCAACAGACGCTGGCCCAGTAGTTTAGGTTGCCACATCGGACCGCCTCAGTGTACATCTATTCCCTCACTTTCTCCTGCGGTGGATTAACCACACGCACTTCTCCGCGTCGTTTCGCTTTCGCTCCGTCTGTGTTTTAAAAATAACTTTTATCGATTTTCCAATTACTGACATGTTTGACTGTACCCCGTTTCCATATGGCTGTACTGCCCTGAGGTGAATTTATCAAAAGCAACCTATGTCCGCCAACGCGTTTTCAGAATTTCAAAGCTATATTCTTACCTTTCTTTTCATAGTGCGGAAAAACGTTTCTATTATGCGTGTGAACCAAGCATCTCGCCTATCAGAGACTAGGCGTTTTGTAGCCCGAATATTGATATAAAAGTTATGGAAATCAGATAGTATCCGTTGGTCTTCTGTGTAGGTATCATTCCAGTGGTATTTACAGTCCGTTTGAAGGGGTCGAAAATGTTTTCCTTCATAAGGTTTTAACTGAAATGTAACTTCCGGAACGGGTATTACCTGAAATCAGACGTCCGGTTTCTACCGACCCACCATGCATTGAGGTCAAAAATTTGTTGATAAAATGTGTTATTCTAATGTAGAAATAAGCAGCGCGAAGCGACGCATTTTAAGTTATCAGTTGCACAATGCCCGTAAGGAAGGAAGAGTTATTGTTTTTTTTACACGTATGAATGTAACCTCTGTTGATTGGTTTTTTCAGTTCAAGCAAGTCGAGGAGTACATGGCTTTCCGTAAGCTTCCCCGCGTTCTGCGACAGAAGATTGCCAACTACTATGAACATCGATACCAGGGCAAAATGTTTAACGAGATGGTCATTTTGGACGAACTGTCGGAGTGTCTACGAGAGGTAAGTAAATATTCCTCTTCTCGTCACGACTATCAAACCCTTGCATTTCACAATGCTGCTTATCGTGCCATCCATCCAAAACACATGTACATCCGAGGTAAACGGCCCTCATGGACTCTGTTTATGGCAAACATGATGAAACTAACTTGATGTTCGTTTTATTTGGCCAGCATACAGGCCCTTGCATCGCCTTTCAACAAAAAGGGCGGCATTTGTTTTTTGAAACTGACATATACAACTTCTTCCGCTTCCCATCTTAGCAACAACTGAAAGCATAATCAGTCGAAGCGTGCGCCAGCGGACAGGTGTTATACTGATAGGCAATAAAAGAGTAATGCTAGTAGATACATTAAACATTAAAGAGTATATTTAGGACAGCAAAATGTTTGGAAAAAGCGCCGCTTTCTTATGCGGCTGGTCATTGTTATCACGATAGTTTAAGCGTTCACTAGCTCTGAGGAAACTCCGACCGTAATACGTGCTAATTGCAAACTCTAGAGGGTTTTACGCCCTACAGTTTTGTTTGATTATCGTTTTATGTGCACTAATTATGCCTTATCTCGGAGGACTGTATGCGGGCTTACCGTGCATTATCATCAATCTCTAAACTCTGAGGAAAGAGTATACCCTGGAGAGGACCACTTTCATTTTCCTAAAATCGCATTGCTTGGAACTCAAAAGATCCGTTAAAAACGACTGTGGTCATTGGAGCCATTAGCTTTTATGGTATGCAGTGCTTTATGAGACATCCTCAGGTACTACTATCCTTTTTTGAATCTAGGATAAGCTGGCGTTCTGTGACCTTCTCCTGAGGACCAATCAATTCTAACATTTGGTCGCATTGACACTGTGATTAATCGAATGACGTTCAAATAACCTCATCAAAAAATATATCTTGTCTTTACCGTCATCTAAAAAAAGTTTTTGTAAATCCTATAAATTTTGACAGATGCAACACAAAGCCGTCTTCTGCGATAAGATAGAATAGTTTTTCTGAAGTAATGAAGGTAAATAAGCAGTCACATTTAATCCTTCATGCCCATGAAAATCTGTAAAATAAGTTGTATTCTATAGCAGGTTGCTCTTTGAAGATGCGACTTCGAGACACTAGTCAGCCACCTTCTCTGTCCCCCGCGTTATAATTTAATTCCGCTCTAACCTAAGGCAAATAAAGAAGCGTCACAATTTTTCCGTCAGAATATCTAGTGCGCCAGGATTAGTGTAAAATTCGCTTTAAGCCTGCTGTGAAGTGTCAAAAAGTGGACATTTCACCAGCACGAGTGGACTTCTACATGCCCAGTAAATATTTGAACTTTAGTGGAGTAGGTTGTCTCGCCAAAAATCTAATGAAGACACTAAAGTGGGTTTATTGTGGGCTTACGGGAATACCCAACGTTGGGTAAGAGGAAAAAACCGGCACTTACAATAAATTTATATAAAAAACTGAACGTCAGCCTGTGCCGACAAAGAGGTGTCTTTCCAGTGTCTAAAGATCTTCGCAAATGCTTATGCATTTTGTCAGTCAACGTCTCTTTAAACAAATCCAGCCAGTAAAACTCATAACTCCAGTCTACTTCTCAAAGCAACACCATTGTGAGAGCATTCAGTTATACCTTTCAAATAATGAAATGCTCTGATAAAAACGACTTTATTTGCCTTTATTGTTAAAGAAGTGGACATAATTGTAAAAACTGTATTCCAGCAATTGTCCCCCAGTTATCCGCATAGATGGCCATTTCAATTACAAAGGAAACAAAGATCTTTGTGGATATTGTAAAATGTAGACTAAATGTGTTTATATACCAAACGATTCTAAATAGGCAGTGCGCTGTGGAGCAATTTTAACAGGTAACTTTTGAGTTATTTGTAATACAGAACTAGGACTGCTGACTATCATACCTTCCCTAAGTTCGTAGGCGGGAGACAACCAATACCCACTAACGCGGTCGGTCAGAAAGACCAGCATGTTTGTAGTGAGATTTCTGGTTGCATTTAGCCAACGACGAAATCAGTCTAACGCCTACGCATTATCTCAATAAGGTGTACCTCGATTCTCTTGCGACGTTCTACTTTTGCCGTTAATAGGACGGTTCCAGTTTTTTGAGATGGCATTGACCACCCTCATTGTGTTATTCGAGGTAGTATTAGATATTATCTGTCGATGGAACAGCCGATTTAGAGTAGAGTCTCAAATCGGAGGAAGAACTTTGGGCCACACGTCCGGTATTTCTTGTGTTTCTGCATACAAGTTGCTGTCTCCAGTAACAAGCTTGATGTCCTGTAAATATCCTACCTTGCATTTAATTCGCATCGTATTTTATGCAAAGTTATGTACCGTGCCCTAATACAGAACAAACTTTAGACCCAAGTTACTCCATTAAACCCTGCCTCCAGGAAGATTCACAAAACGCTCACCTGATTCCCAACGTCCCCAAACCCCCGTTGCCTTTTTATTACTATGGCTGCGTCAATCCGGGAGAGTAAATTGAAGATGCTATTACAGAGATTTTAAGGTCCGTTTCGTCACAAAATCTTTGTTGGTACGTTGACGGTAACATTTGCCGTTCAGTAACGTAACATCCGAAAATTCTACCATCACAATCCACCAGATGCGACACTGCCCCTTGAGGCGGACCCAGCAACTGCGTGCAAATTTGTCTATAATGGGGCAAAGTTTTGCTAGATCTACCACGAGCTCTCCTCCCTCACACATCAGGCTTTGAGGCAACCGGTTGGCAGACATAAACAGCCTATCTGCGCCTACCACAAACGTCCCGGTTACCTCTCCGAATTTTCTAAGTTACAAAAGACTGGCTCAGTCCTTACATATGTAAGAATTACATAGAGGCCACAATAATATGAAGCCTTTTCGGCCCAACTCTCCAACAGTCGGATCACTCCATCAATTGACAACCTTCCAAACGACAACTGGAAGTGAGTCTCAATAGGTTTGAGCGTGTCAGACATATTATGCAATGAAATGCACTGATCTCCCTTGAAGACGGTTTCCCAATGTCTACATTTATCACTCCGCCCTCTCCCATTCTCCAGGCGATTATCTTAGTCATTCAGACAACTGATGTGATGGCACAGAATACTGGCGCAAAACGCATTGTAGTGTTTTGTTTCACTTCATGGGACTTCTTCTTGGTAGGCACCTAAAATAAACGTAAGCAACTGGAGTTAATCGAAACAACAAATTTGGCGATCGCTATCTATTTGTTCCCCCCGCGCTTCATGACATAAATGACCAGTAGTCTGAACGCAATTACTTAAAGACATTTAGAAAACTGTCTTAAAAACTTCAAAGTTACAATCGTCCGTCAAATATCTCCATCGGATCGCATGTGGGTATGTAGCCCCACCGGAAGCAAACAAACTCCAGTCACCTCTAATACCAGACCGGTGACAATAGGGGTTTTTACAGGTTGGGCCGGGAAACGAACAGGCGACAAGGTCAAGTAGTTGTATGCAGAAGAAGAGATATTGGTACTGCGCGGTTGAGTGGTTGAGAAACAGTTGAGCTAAACTCTTAATCGTAACCCGAATCCCTAACTACAAGACACAATCCTGATCTCTAACTCCTACCCCTAACCTTTAACACTAACCCCTAATCTCTAAGCATAACCACTAACCATACCTCTTAACCCTAACCCCAAACCTTAACCCCAACATATTGTATCCAACAGGTGGGGCGGCCAAGCCACATCTTGCCCTCCAATGTTTTTTAACCGACTTCTTCGCAACATTCTGACTACAATGAAGAGAATAGGTCGTCAAATGGCCACATGGTCCATTTATTCCACGAGGGTAATTAGCAGAAGAAGGAAATGCTCATACATGACGACTCTTAACTTTTTCACTCACTAACAAACGCAGTATTACAGTGGGCTCAAAAGTAATCAAGCATTGCCACTATGAACTAATCTCCCATTACTTCGCAAGCGTGATCAAAATGGAAAAGCACATAGTTATGGAACACTGCAAAGAAAAGAGCATTCTTGTGAAATATGTAAGCATGAACGAGGATAGTCAGGCGTTTAATCTGCCGTCCGTTGTCTAGAAAAGGGCATATGTTGCATAAACGACAGCTTTGTTACATTTAGAAAATTGAGAGATAAAGTGTACAAAGCACTCGCGCAGGTCCAAGTCTCGCAAAGGTCTGAGCGAGATACGGATACAGCTATCCTGTTCCACTTGTCACAGATCCTAGACGCACGCAAATCTGACTGCAACAGAGCTTAAAGCACGCCCACTTCAGCAAAGACAGGCGGTGATTGAGAGCTTCCACGCTTTTTTCGAATTGCCGCTCACACCCTGCTGTCAGGTCATTAATTGTGTTTTAGTGTACAGATGGGATGATGTGGAACGGTTGACAGGCAGGTGGGGAGGTGCTTGTGCCCGTAACACTATGCGAAACTTCACAAACTGTCATATTAATCGACACCCCGTCCATCATACGATCTGATCTCACTTTCGAGGATGCAAGCGATCGACAAAGTGTCTTAGGGCTTCCGATTGTCAAGTGAAGATTTTATCATCCGAATTTTTCCACTGATTTGTGAATCTACTGATTGTACCAGAATTTTGTAGCAATATTTCCCCGGTATGAATTTAAAAGAGACACACACCGCAGAATTTATTTGAACCGACATTTTTCGCGAGGTCTGTGAACTGTCGCTACATAATAAAAATGATGAATTAGAAACATAGATAGATCACGGTTTCCTTAGAAAAATCAAGCCAAAACAGCTAGTTCATCATTTACTGCCTACGGATTAATCAATAAAGCCAGTAATTAGTCACACAATTTAGGAAAAAATTAGGAAATTTATTTAGCAGAGAGGATGTGTAAATCAATCAGTTATTCAACAAGCTCTCTTTCCTGGACGTTCCCACGACTTGACAGGAAGATGATTCAATAAGACGATCGGCTTTCCACACTTTCCGAGCTTTGTGCCAATACAACGGAAGCAAAACGTGGTAAACGCTTTTTCCTAATGAATGAGAAACGTATGCTTTTTAAGGCACTGCGTACAGAAATTGCTTTCCTTAAAGTAACCTTGCTTAACCGTGAGCATTCAGCCCGTTTCATTCCAAAGTGTGGCAACACCTTTCGACTGGAATGGACGGAACAATCCCTTCCGAAATGGTCCGTTGTAATATCCTTTCCCTTTAATGGTGCCGGCAATACAAAGGCTATCAAGCGTTGACTAAGATGCACCACTGAAAGGAAGGTCAACGCAGGAGAACTCGTATACAGCAGTTCCATTAAAACTATCCCAATTCTGCGGGCAAATGATGCATTGCCTATGCACGACACACCAAATTTTGCTTACGAAATCACATGCACTTGTGGATGCAAGTACATTGTGGATCGCAAAGAAGATTTGCAGCCAAGTCAGTTCAGAAATTGCCTAAACAGGAAAATAAAATTTTTCGTTCTTCTGACGCGAGGCACATCCTAGATAGCGGTCCCTCTGTTAACCACAAAACATCCTTTCGAGTATTAGTTTGGGCACGAAAAACTCGGATATTACGTTGCTTGGGGGCAGGCTTCATGTGGTAAAAGAAGACCGAGTTATAAAAACAATGGGACCACCTGGTCAACATCAGTTTGCCCTGGTAACTTTCAGTCATTCAATCTACACACATGTCAGCTTCCCCGCATTTTTTCCTAAATTGGCTTTAAGTTACTTCTTTTATAGATTAGTCTGTGTGCAGTAACCGATGATCTTGCCGTTTTGACTTTAATTTTCTGTTGAAAACCAGATCTGTGTATTTTTCTCATTCGTCAGCGACGGGTTGCAGTTGATAAGCCGTCGCAAA